CTTCTGGAAAAAAAGATGCAGAACTTTAATGTGCTGTACTGTACCGTATTTTTGCGGATGATTATGCGAGCATGAGGGCTTGGAGGAGGGCAGTGCAAGTAGCGCCCTTTGTCATCTTCACACGGTATACGAAGCAGCGAATCGTGGCCCTGAAACTGCCCGACAACCCTCAGGCCTCTCAGAGTCAGGACAGAGTCAGGACGGTGTGACACACAGTAGATCAGGGCGACCTGTTTTCGGTTATTAACAACGTGGATCTACCCTCTATCTCAGTTTGGCTGTCGCTGACAGGCGCCACTGGTCAATTGAGAAGACCCTGACGGATGTCTATGGTAGAGGAAAGGAGAAATGCACTGGGCTGAGCGGGTTGAGAGCGGTCTGCGTACCGAAATTGGAACCTCGGAATGCGTAAATGCTCGCCTCAAGATTGGATCTGTAATTTTGAACCGGAATGGATCCTATACGGCTGCTCTTTTTCTCGGCGCCGTGGAAAAGCGGACTCAATTCGGAGCGTCAGCAGCGGAGCAAGACACATACAGGGCATGGTTTTTTCGTGGGCAATGACAAGACAGTAGCAGAAAAAAAGCCATGGATCGATCTAGGCATCGAAAGGCCTAGCCCAGGAGAACAAGAAAAAAAAGGGCGCAAAAATATGCCGTGAACCAGGAATTCGTCTTCCTCAGAAGGTTAAAGGCTGGGGCTTACTCGAAACTTGGCTTCCATCAGTCAGTCATTTGAAGTCAGTCATGTCCACTCACACCACAGCATTAATTGGTGATAGCGTATTACCTGAAGCCCTGCCCTGAGCCCTTAGCACATGGCGCCAACGACGACAAGGAACGGGATGAAATTTAGGGGGGGCCGTTCCCTACGATACCTTAAATTAGAGGACGATGGGCGATATGCCGTGCCAGGAGCGGGTAAAAAATGGAGTCCTGTTGACCTTTGTGCCCGCAGTGTCAAAGAAATTTTACTAGCACGGGTCAGATTCAGAGGAATTGACTGGACTAACCAGCAACTAACTGACTGGCTTGTTACATTTCACAGGGCCCCAACCTGAAAGTGACCTTTTTTCGCTCACATCTTCTTTGTAGCGTCAGGTATTCCCGTCAATTTTCGTTCATTTCCACCTGCATTTTTCCATTCTCGTTGCTTCGCGCCAATTAACAAGGCTTACCTTATTAAATGAAAGACAGGACCCGAGGCCACCCTTTCTCTTTTTCTTTACTGCCTCAAATAATTGCCTCGCCCTTCTCCCGCCCTTTCTTTGTTTTGTTTTGTTCAGTTTTTAGTTGTTTCTTCTAAAACAATCTACAAAGCATCCATCCATCCATCCATTATCCCTCCCCCCTTGTCCCTGTCGAGCAACTTTGTCTCAGACCTTGATCTGTACTGCACTGTACATAGAGTTACACTACAAAACGGTGCCGCACTCGTGCCCGCCCTCGGAGAACGTCATCTGCACCAGTCTCCACGCGCAATAAACAGAACAGCGGCTCTCACACACCCATAACAAACCACACACCCACTGCACAGCACAGCACAGACGCCACCCTGAATTGAGATTGGGGAAATCCTGCAACTTGGGAATCAGCCGCCTTTTCTACTCCTCTTCTAGCTTCTACTCAAAAGCCCAGCCCGGCCCGGCCCTGCATTGCATCTCACTTCTGCCATCGACCCATATCAAAGCACCCTCACGCTCAAAGCAACCACCCCAACCAACAACCTACTCTAGTCTATAGCAGTTGACGATGTTTGTCTTGCTGTTATAGCACCACTGTCCTCAGGGACACTTTTAACGCCTCCTTCGACGTTGCTATTGCTCAGGCAATAATACAACCGTAACGTCTTGCACCTCAGCCACTATACGACACATACAACTATACGCCTTCTCATCGACTACTTCAACAACTATTATCCTAATCTCCTGATCACGAATCGAACTTCCTGTTTCGAATCTTCACCTCAACCCCCACACTTGCACCCCAAAGTCGAAACACTCTACCTGCCAATATGACGAACAACATGACTACCAACAACCCAGACACCCTCTGGGTGGCTCACGGTTCAGAAGAGCTCGAAGAGGCCGACGAACCGCCCGAGATAACCCTCAAGAAGCAACAGTTTACTGCCAACGATTTCCAACGAACTACCATTCGACCCTCCATCGAAAAGTCCTCTCTGTTGACCAAGGCTATCAATGGAAACTCAGACGACGACCTCTACACTCCCCAGACTATCTCACGATCCATGGCCAATACCCAGCGACGTCGCTCTCTTGTCAGCAACATCAGCCTCGCCTCGACCGCCGACCTCACGAGCGACACTGGTTTCACTAGCCCTTCGAGACCGAGCACACCAAGCCCTCCTCTCCCCGAAATGACCATGCTACGCTTGCACGATGGGCGCGCTGCCGAGCCTACGCATGTTTCTTTGCTAGGCGCTGCTGTCAGGCTACAGCAGGGCAAGACTGAGGAGCCTCGCAAGCGAAGCATCCAGTTTGCATGCGGTGGCAAGCCTGTGGCCCAAGAACAACCCCCTCGATCCCAACCTATGGTCAAGGCTCCTTCTGCTCAGGAAGCTCCTCGCAAGTCATGCATCAAATTTGCATGCCCAGCTCGACCCGCCTCTACCCAGAACACTCCTCCCCGGTACACCGAGAACTGCGCCAAAAAGGACGCCACACCAAAGGGCGAATCTCCCTCAACCCCCAAGCGAACTTCAGCCCTGTCATTTGCCGCACCTCGTCATGTCACACCACGCCGACACTCCATGTCGCGTCCTAGATTTCTCCGTGCCGACTCCTCTGACCTTGCCACGGACAGTTCCCAGTTCCACGAGTTTGCTAGTGGTATCACCCGAGAAGATGATTGGATCCGACGTGATAGCAATGCCATTGCAACTAAACTGACAATCAATGACACTCTGACAAAGGAGAACAACATTCGACGTCTGGCTACCGAGGCAGAGGAAGAGGCGCAAGAGGAAGAAGACGAGCTCGAGGACGAGGAAGATGCCGATGTTGGCGACGAGGATGAGGACGACGAACTAGATGTTGAACTCGATGAAGAAGAAGATGATGACGACGACGACGCTGACGACTCTGATGGCTATCACACCGATGAAGAGACTGGATTCGCCGATTCTGATGAGGATGATGAGGATGATGACATGCGTCTCTGGACTCCTGGAGCCAAATCTGTGGTTCATATCGGATCGGGTGCTACTCTCATGCGCCGTCCGTCTCTTCATGAGTTGCAGTCTGATTCTTCTATCACTACCGTGGACAACCAGCGTGCCAACCGTCGCTCAAAACGCGTCAGATATGCCGAGGAGGCTCCTGATCTTCCCGACAGCACTGACTTTGTCTGCGGCACATTGGATGAGGACCGTCCTCTTGAGGAAGCTTACCTTTCATGCCTCGCAGCTCGACGAAACGAGAAGCTTCGCGTCATTCCTCAGGACATCGACCCTAGTTTCCCTGCCTCTGAGCCTGAGGAGGAAAACGAGGGTGAGATCTTCAACCCTGTTCACCACTCAAGTGACGAGGATGATGAGTTCTTCCAGGGCAAGATGGAGGACCTTCATCATGAACGTGACCGCCCTCGTCGCCGTCGCAAGAGCGAGCATGCCTCTCCTAAGCGATTCCGCTCTCCTCCCCCCAAGCGCCATCACTCACCCCCTCCCAAGGTCCGAGGCCGATCGCCCAAGCCTCTGTTTGATCGTCAATCCCCTCGAAAGGCCAAGTCCCCAGCTCCTATGCGCAAGCCCATCACTACCCCTCTTGGATCTCCTCGCTGTGGCCAAGTCAACTTCAACCTGGCTGGTCGTCCTGGTCTCACCCACACCAAGTCTCTTCCCCGCGGTGGCGCTATGTGCCACCAGCGAAAGCAGGCCCGACACAAGGTCAAATATGACAATGATACCCATATCCGTGGAGCTATCGATATCGTTAAGGGTCTGGAGAGCAAGCGTCAGCGACGCAAGGAGAAGTTTCACCAAAAATACTGCCACCGCGCTCGACGTGGCCAGATCCCCGAGCGCAAGCCTGTTCCCGGACGCGGCACGGAACGCATGAGGGAACTCGGCCTTCTTATGGCGGGCAAGAAGGACCAGACCAACTACGTCCTTTCCATCTAAGCATGCTTGATTGTCCTTGCAAAAGAACATCAATGCTTCCTCAATTTAGACTGCGAGGCACGTTACGACGAAGATGATACATCTTATACGACTTAACTTGATGACTCAAACGTCCTTTCTTCTTACACCTTCTCGGCTAGGTCTCCGAGATTGTTTTCCTGTATATACTGATAATGGACTCTGGATGCTCGCAATGTTCGAGATTTCCTGTACATATTTTTCTATTTTTTCTTTGTCATACTGCATAAAGCGGCCGGACAACGCTCGCTACTGGCGGAAAGGAGCTTATTTTGAACTGCTTGGATACCCGATTCAGCATTTGGTATTACTGGGTTACATGCTCGGCGTTGGATGAGAGGCTATCATGACATAAATGCATTTAGCGGAATATCAATCACGACAATGATTCCCTGCCATATATTGTTCGCTTTCTATGATGATATGAAGTAATTGGATGAATGAAAGTACACGCGGTTATTCAATTTGACTGGTAAGTTTTGGTTCTAAGCCTCGTTGGCCATTGGGGTTGTTATCAGCTGGTGGTCACTCTTGGTGTAAGTCAATCCCAGAGTTGGACTTCGATTCACACCAGTCTGGCAAGGAAGCTGTGAATGCCACTGTACCAAAGCACAACTAAACATAAGAGAATACATATCAGGTGCTACTTTATGTAGAAATACAAAATTTAGACACATTTCTCTGTCCTTTTGCCTTGTACCAGCTGACCTGCAGCTCGGAATTCGATGGACGGAACTGTACGGCGTGACATGCACGATTATGCATGCCTTATATATTAGGCATCACTTCAGCGTCCCTTTCTTGCCAGCTTTTGATTCAATTCAACGCCTCCTAACAATCCACCACCAGCTACATTCCACGACGCCAACGATAACGACGACTCTTTTTCTCCAGTGCAAGATAATAACACCACAGCTTTTATTTCAAATTAATACTCAACTTTAATACTCACACAACATGTGGATTGTCAACTGGTGTATGTATTCGGCTACGATTAAACAACTGGCAACTTGAATGGGCTGACACGTGCTGCGTATAGTCTATGATGTGCTGTCCTCCTTGGGACTGCTCAACAAACACGCCAAGCTGCTCTTCTTGGGTCTGGACAACGCCGGAAAGACTACTCTGCTTCACATGCTGAAGGTGCGTCGACACAATGCTGTTGGATTGTTGGATAAACGGTTGTCAGCTGGGATACTTGTTACCAGCGGTGGCGGTTTTTGGAGATATATGACGACTAACGATGGATTTACAGAACGACCGTGTCGCTATTCTCCAGCCCACTCTTCACCCCAGTAAGATCCTCCTTGAAAGCATCAACAATTCGTTTATACTGAGACATCGCAGCATCCGAGGAGCTTGCCATCGGCAACGTTCGATTTACCACCTTCGATCTCGGCGGTCATCAGCAGGGTACGCAAATACACCACCCCTTCAACCCCGCATACATATCTAACAACGTGATTAGCCCGACGTATCTGGCGCGATTACTTCCCCGAGGTCAACGGCGTTGTCTTCCTTGTCGACGCCAAGGACCACGAGCGATTCGGCGAGGCCAAGGCCGAGCTCGACGCCCTCCTCTCCATGGAGGAGCTCTCCAAGGTTCCCTTCGTTATTCTCGGCAACAAGATCGACCACCCCGATGCTATCTCTGAGGACGAGATGCGACACCAGCTCGGCCTTTACCAGACAACCGGCAAGGGCAAGGTCCCTCTCGAGGGTATCCGACCCATCGAGCTCTTCATGTGCTCAGTGGTTATGCGACAAGGCTACGGCGAAGGTATACGCTGGTTGTCGCAGTACGTGTAAAGGAGTAGGGAAAATGAGATGAGATTGGAAGAAGTGAGGCAGTGAGCTAGAGAGGTATACCTTACGACGAGTCCTTTTGGGGAGAGACAGAGAGGACAAGTGACTTTTCCAGTGTTTAGGAGACTCAGAATTCTCCTTTAGGCGAACATTGGTCGTGCAATTCTACTACATTTACTTGCTACAAAATCTAGCCGAGCCTCATTTTGAAAAATGCTCCTGAAGATGGAAAAATTAGACCCCTGGTGTTATGTGCTAGGGTGCTTACAAGGGGAGGCTTGGATGCTCATGAACGACATTATCGTGCCTAGGCATCGTCGGGACACATATCATGATACGTGATGTAGCTAGTCTAACCGTAGCTAAAAGAGAAGGTGGCAAGAATTAGAGAGAGATTATGCGTATTACATCTCATGATTAGCGTCCGTGGGCTCATTCTATCGCCGTCGGTGGTGATACCAGGTGTTCGATAGAGGCCTCGGTTCGCCAAGACGGACTGGTATGGATCCCCGGGAAATGTACCTCTGTACCATTTCCCCAACGGAATCTACGTCATGTTACTAGAATCGTCACAAGGCAACCCAACAGAGCTTCGCATCATAGTAATCAATTTCTCCCTTAACCCGCTGCAACATCTCGCGATTCCAAGAAATCTGACTTATTTCCCTCTTCTGTCAGCAATGGGTTAGAGATTACAGCATAAAATCGATCGCAATGTCGTCCTCGTCATATTCCTCACTACTGCCTTGCGATCCAGTCTATGGATTTCCACCGGAATCTTTCGACCCCTCCCTTCTTCCTGATGTCGACACTGAGTTCGTCGATGCGCAAGACTTGGAAGCCTTTGAGAAGGCGCTCCAGGCTCCTGATCCGCTTCAGAGTCCGACCGATGAAAACGGCGCTCGATCGCCTCGCAGCCCGAGTTCGTTTAGTGTGACAAAGAGGCCTTCGCAGGTCGAATCTGGTCTTGCGGATGATGTCGCTGCTGTCGCCGCCGCCGCGGACGCTGCCTCTGGAGATCTCCCTGTTCCTCCGACACCGAGTCAAGGAACATTTATAACAGCGCAGAACGATTGGGCGCCTGTTAACGAGAAGATCTATAGTCGTCGGCGCGGTTCGAAGCGAAGCAAGAGAAAGCGCAGGGGTGGAAAGGGGGCTGTTGAGGGTCTTCTAGGGACCCGCACCAAGGATGAGACTCGAGAAGGATATCTATACCAACTTTCAAAGTGGCCTTTGCTTTTCTTCGTGTTTGCATGGCTGGGTGGACTTGCCGTTGCATACCTCTCGACAAGGCTATATATCTGGGTCTACGAGCATTTCTTCACATGGCGCGGCCAGCGAGAAAGACTCCGACGGAATTTGCGAAATGCTTCGAAGTATGAGGACTGGGTGAGTGCCGCAAAGGAGCTTGACAACTACCTTGGTCGACAAACATGGAGGGAAGAGAATGATTTCGCATACTACGATTCCAAGACTGTCCGAAGAGTTTGGGAGCAGATGAAGAAGACGAGACTGCGTGCTGAAGAGCAGGAAAACAAGGGCGAGAAGAGTAATGGAGGAAAGGCAGTGGATGAGCTGAAGACTTTGATCGAAGCCTGCGTCAAGAATAACTTTGTTGGCGTTGAGAACGCGAGGTTATACAGCCAAACGTACTATGGAACCAAGAATCTGGTACAGAATTTCCTCGATGAAGGTGAGTGCTGGAGACCCCAGCTCCAAATGGCCAAGATTCTAACATGAAGCAGAGGAGAAGTGTATCAAATTTCTGGCAAACACCAAGCAACTCGAGATGGAGCAGAAGCGAGTTCTCTTCAAGCACGTCTACGCCAACTACGGAAGAACGGCTCTCTGCCTTTCCGGAGGTGCAGCCTTTGCCTACTATCATATTGGTGTTGTTCGAGCATTGCTCGATGCGGATCTGCTACCAGATGTCATCACAGGCACTAGTGGCGGTGCTCTAGTTGCCGCTTTGGTGGCTACTCGAACGAACGACGAGCTTAAGCAACTTCTTGTACCAGCTCTTTCTGAGCGCATCAACGCTTGTCGCGAACCCTTTACAGTCTGGATTCCTCGGTGGTGGAAGACTGGAGCTCGATTTGACTCGGTTGACTGGGCGCGACGATGCGGCTGGTGGACGCATGGCTCCTTGACATTCCGAGAAGCTTACGAACGAACAGGTCGCATTCTCAATGTTACCTGTGTCCCAGCTGACCCCCATTCGCCAACAATTCTTTGCAACTACCTCACAAGCCCTGATTGTGTTATCTGGTCGGCCGTGTTGGCATCGGCCGCTGTACCCGGAATTATTAACCCTGTCGTTCTCATGATGAAGACTCGAGACGGTTCTCTAGAGCCGTACTCTTTTGGCCACAAGTGGAAGGATGGCAGTTTGCGAACGGACATCCCTATCAAGGCTTTGAACACACATTTTAACGTCAACTTTACAATTGTCAGCCAAGTCAACCCACATATCAATCTTTTCTTTTTCTCATCTCGAGGATCAGTTGGTCACCCAGTCACACATCGCAAGGGGCGTGGATGGCGAGGTGGCTACCTGATGTCTGCGTTCGAGCACTATCTCAAACTGGACATGAACAAGTGGCTCAAGTTTATCCGCCATGCCGAGTTGTTGCCACGGCCTCTTGGTCAAGATTGGAGTCAGCTTTGGCTGCAACAATTCAGCGGCACTATTACGATTTGGCCAAAGTCGAGAATTTCAGACTTCTGGCACATTCTGTCTGATCCTGATCCCCATCGACTGTCCCGTATGATTCACGAAGGAAAGCAAAGTGCTTTCCCCAAGCTCAAGTTCATTGAGAACAGGCTCAAGATTGAGCGACTGGTTGAACGAGGACGCTCTGATTCACGACCATGGGTGCGTAGGGGCAGCATTCAAACTATTCTCAGCGAAGAGGATATCAGAAACATTCTGGCGGAGGAGATGGGCAACGGTGCAACTACAGAGGACGAGACCGATGTGGATGATCTCAGTGGGCTTGGCCTTGGTATGACCACCCTCGACGATAACACTCTTTATGAGGAGCCCGAAGAGAAGAGTGACTCGGAGGTCAGCGGTTGAGTGAACTGCCGTGTAAGATGGAGGGAAGTGGATATAATACGAGCATGTCTCTAGATTAGTAGCATAGTTGCTTTAAAGGTTTGGGTTTGAAAATTGGATTAGGTTTGGGAGGAACAAGTAAATCGTTATAAGCGTCTTTAATCAACATCAAGCGTTTCATTTGTCAATTATGGCCAGTTGGTCTTGTTCCTATTTAAGTAATAGAATTCAACTGCTCGGTTCTGTCTTGGTCTCGAAATAGAGTTGATGGTTGGCACTAGAAGGTCATAGCTTGCAGGGCTGAGTGCACTAACAAACAGTGGTTGTCCTTTCTAAAATTGTTCCTCTGTGCTGAAACTGAGAACACGGTGGCGCGTACGGAAGGAGCCATTCAGTGCAGGTGGCAAGTGGGGAGTGACAGATAATCCGATTACCGGCAGCCGTCAACCCGCTTCCTTCAAACGAAGGTCGACCATGGGAAATGCGCTGCGTGGCCGTAACTAAACGACAGGACAGTTCGACTCGACACGACACCAGCACTTTTCTTACCTTACTTTCTCACCCAACAAGCACAATATTATCTGCCAGTAAAATACACTCTTTTGGGGCAGAGAACTTGTACTTGGTTTTGTAAAGAGATTCTCTTTATTTTATTAGAGCGCTTTTGTGTGTCTTTGTTTCTATCTTCTATACATTGATCGCCTTGAGTTGTGGGCTACGTTTCCCCTCGAGCTTGCTTTGAGAGTAGCCCTGGGGCTCTCTTCAACCCGTCAAGATGAGTTCCGACTACTCTTATGACGAGCAGGTAAGGAGACCATTGCCGCTATGCTTTGGCACTGGCTAACTCGAATTATCAGGGCCAATTCTTCCCCTTCTTTATCCTGACCCTCACCGGCCTCGTCACTGTTCCCCTTACCTACACACTCCTTCGCCCGAACCGCGACCAAGATGCGCTTGCGCCACGGATCAAGACCGACTACAAGTCAGAGCATGCGGCTACTGTCGAGTCGCTCAAGTCAGCGCAGAAGCGTAGCCAATGGAGGGTTAAGCGGGTCATCTTCGTGATAATCGGCTGGGCCGTCATGGCTGGCATGGCCTACCTGATCATGGTCACCCAGCGAACTGTCCCCAAGCTTTGGAACCCTTATGATATTCTAGGTATCTCAGAGGTAAGTTCCTGCGACGGCTATATCTGTCTGAATTGACGTTGCTGACACAATCGCTACTAGTCTCTCAACGAGAAGCAAATCAAGTCGCACTACAAGCGACTCTCCCTCAAGTTTCATCCCGACAAGGTTCGGCCTGACCCAGCCAAGAACGAGACTGTGGAATCCCTTAACGACTTCTACGTTGAACTCACCAAGGCCTATCAAGCCCTCACCGACGAAGACGTGCGGAACAACTACATCCAGTATGGTCACCCCGATGGAAAGCAGAGCTTCAGCATGGGCATCGCCCTTCCCCAGTTTATGGTCTCCGATGGTAACGGCAAGTATGTCGTTCTTCTGTACACTCTGCTTCTCGGAGTCCTTCTGCCCTGGCTCGTCGGATCGTGGTGGTATGGCACGAAGAGAATGTCCAAGGAGGGTGTCCTGATGGAGAGCGCCAACAACCTATTCCGACAATACGACGACGAGATTGAGGAGGGCGGCATCATCACTGCTCTCAGCGCCGGCAAGGAGTTCGAGGAGATTCTGAAGGGTGACAAGGGCGAATCTGGTCTTTCTAAAATCGAGTCACGAATTACAGCCGAGAGCGAGGCCGGTCCCACTGCTTCTGGCATGTCACTCAAGGACAAGGAGGCTCTCGAGGATCTTGACAACGGTGTTCGACGGAAAGCCCTTGCCCTTCTCTGGGCTTACCTTGGCCGTGTTGAGCTTGACGACCCTGCTCTGACCAAGGCCAAGTTCCAGGTTGGCCCTCTCGCCCGCGCTCTCAACCAGTCATTCAACGCTATTACTCTTGCCTATGGAAACATTGGTCCCATTGCCAACTCGTTCTACACAAGCCAGAACCTGATCCAGGCTGTTGCACCCCACGCCTCTCCTCTTCTCCAGCTTCCCCACATCACTCCTGAGATTGCTCGTGCTATTGAAGGTGACTCCAAGACACACATGCCTGTCCATCGATTTATGGATCGGCCAGACGCACAGCGCAGACAGCTTGCTGTTGGAAAGGGCCTCCTGACTGAGGAGCAATACCAGACCGCAATTGGTGTCGCTAAGCAGATTCCCTTCTTCCGTGTATCGAGGGCTTTCTTCAAGGTTACTGGAGAGCGCTTCATTATTCCTTCGTCACTGGTCTCTCTTGTCATCAAGGGTCGCTTCATCCCTCCTGGTACCGAGAACATTCCTCCTGTCAACGAGCTGGATCTCGAGGACATTGATCCAGCCGAGGATGATATCGAGGCTATCAACGGACGCAAGAAGAAGACTATCAAGGGCCCTGACGGCAAGCTTATTCCTATCGAGGAGGAGTCAATCCTGCCCCCTCTGACACACGCCCCTTACTACGCCCGTGATCACTCTCCTCAATGGCACGCTTTCCTCAGCGACTCCAAGCAAGGCAAGATGGCTGTTCCTCCTTTCCACTTCGCCAAGTTCGACCAACCTATTATCGACGATGAGGACAAGCCTACTTTCAACATGCAGACTCTCAAAGCTCAATTCGCTGCTCCCCCTCAGGCTGGTCACTACACCTTTGTTCTGCACGTTATCTGCGACTCCTATGTCGGCTTCGATACGAAGATGGAAGTTACATTGGTTGTCGAGGAAGCAAGCAAGGCAGCAGAGATGCAAGCAGAGGACGAGATCAGTGAGCCGGAAGAGGGTAAGTCTCAATCGCAAAACAGATCATTAATATGCATGCTAACAATTTTTCAGATTCCCTCGCTGGACAGATGCACGTTCTCAAGACTGGTCAAACTCCCAAGACCCGTAGAAGGGATTCTGACGACTCTGAGGATGAGAGTGGAACGGATGAGGAGGAGGATGACACCAGCGCAACAAATACCGATACTGAGGACGAGTCATAACGGTCCACCAGTCTCTGTTCGTGGATAAAAAAAGTACTGTAATCACTAAGTCATGAGCGAACCCCCCCCCTTTTCAGGAGCATGATGTGTGTATACGAAAGCGAAATAATACTCTGTGTATGTATGTATTAGGAAGGGAGGGAGTCTGGAGGAAGACGACAAACACTTTAAAGCTTGGGCATTTGTTTCTTTATCTAGAAACAAGTTGGGAGTTTAGGGGTTTCTTTAGGGTACACACTCAGTATATAACTCTTTCTTGCTGTGTTTATTCTCATTCAACTTCAAATTATCTCCAAAGCCGGCTTGTTTCGTTCAAGCAATAAGCCACCTTTTCCAGTTTCCATCTCAGCCTCCATTGAGCACAAAACCGTATTGGAGCAACCATCATATAATATAACAAGCGCCCGAATTATCATTCTCTTTCCCCTTGAAACAGTGCTCGTGAGGCGAGGTTCTCGTTTCCATAAATTATGTACACCTATTGTATTGCTTCTTGAGATTCTCTCGGGACCTTTCGGGATATAGATTATGCGTAGTATATAGGGTTCCAAAGACGCAAGACCAGCTTTCGTCTTGCTTGTACATATCTTTCGAACAGTGGGGTGACTTCTTAACATACTCTTACACCACAGACTTCGACGCCCTTGCCCTCAATACGAGCGGGACGACCGAAGTACAAGATTGACAATTCACGAATGAACAAAGCATCGGTATCGCTCCAGACGTCGAGACCCATGTTTTCCACAGCGTGGCTATCTACGCGGATAGCATCGGCATCATCGGGTCCGAGGACAGAGTCTGATGGACGAAGGGGTGCTCTTTCGCCTGAAGCTTGTGATAAGCCCTCATCATCATCATCATGGTCAGTATATGGCTCATCTTGGCTGTCAGCTAGATCAGCCAGCACTGATAGTATTTGGGTGGTGAGACGGTGGAAGTAGGCGATGATAGCAAGCTCAAATCGGGCTTCGCCTGAACCGTCAGGGGCACGATGGCTGGCATTGAGAGAACCAAGTGAGTCCGATAGCTGTCCAGAGCGAGAACCTGGTCGGGGCATAGTCATAGAGGGTCCAAAATCGGCGAGCAGAGAAGCATCATGAGCTGCCTCCTCTTGCTGTTCCTGACGCAATTGCTCACCGGCGCTGGCCCACCACATGTAACCATTGTAGGCAAAAGCCGCCCATGTCAAGGGTTCGACGACCTTTTCCACTGCGTCGTCTCGTGGGTCACGGACGATATGACTTGACTGGGTGGAAAATCGACGCGCAGAGCGCTCCTCTTCAGGAGATTCTGGGAATGCACTAGGGGCTTGACTAGCAGCTGCAAGACGGGCAAGGCCGTTCTTCAGAGTGGTAAAACGACGAAGATCTCGCTGGGTCGCCTTGATAGGCTGTCCACGAGGGCATTCGACCACGGGCCAAACTCGCTCTGTAGCATTACAAGAGTAGTCGGGAGGCAAAGTGATGAGCATATCCCATAGCGTGTCCTTCATAGCAAGAATGCTGTCAGTGGTGCACGCGATCCAACCAGAGCCTGATTCGTCATCTATCGCATCTTCATCATTGCGGGGCCTCTTAGACGCCTCAAAGTCGTCCATGAGGAAAGGGATATCATGAACACCAATAGAGAAAAGCGGTCTTAGACGCTGAGTTGAAGCTGAGCCTGGCAGTATATCGGTGACAGATAAAGGAATATTGGAGAGAACAGAGAGGTTATATACTGGGAATTATTAACAAAAGAGCTACGCCTTGAAAGGATATGACTTACCAAAATCACAAACTTCATGGACTGGTGCATGGCATGATATTAGAATACGCTTCCGCAGCAAGGCAGCGCGATGTATAGGAAAGATGAGCGGGCCAAACTTGTCCAGAAGGCTAGTCAAACTCCAGGCAGGGTGGTATGGTGAGAGCTTGTTGCCGGGCGGTATTAGAGAGGCACCATCGGAAGCTGATCGGTTGCGGCTGTGGGTTTTGCGGGGGAAAGGTGATGAGTTGAGAGACGGAGAGCTCACGGGGGTTTCTCCTGAGAGTCGACGATTGCCATTTCCAGACTTTTCGCGATTAGCAACCCAATATTCCTCGAGTATACTTGTGTTTTTGCGATCCTCGGCCAGTTTCCTGTTCAACACGTCAGCCAAGTCCATTGCGCATAGGGTAGATTGCGTACGCAGCCATTTCCTTCAGTCCTTCGGCATGCCTCCAAGCGCGACCCAGGCGACCATAGCTCAGGGGAACCAAAACTCCCACGGCAAACATTCTCGCGTTTCGTGCCTCCTCCTCATCGCAGGGCATGTTCACAAAGGCGCTGAGTCCGGCATGGGCGCTGTCGTGAACGAAGTAGATGAGATCTTCAGAGACTGTGTGCAAGCCGGAAGGAAGAGACTTGTATTCCACAAGACCCTCTAGGTCAATCCCTGGGGCATTTTGTTTCCAGAGAATTGTATATCCGGCCTTGACGTCGAAGTGGATGAGAAAGAGAGCATCGATAGGAGGACGATCGAGAGGTTGGTTTGAAGGCATGCGGACGGAAAGAGACGGTTGTCCTCGGCGGGAGGAAGCCATGGCGATTGATTATCTAGATGCGCGCATCATATGTCGGCTGAATACTTGCGAAGGCGCAGGCAGACCGCGCTTAAATTGAGTTTAAGAGGGGAGAACAGAGCCAAGAGAGGAGATAGGCGAGTCAACAAGTGACAAGCGAATTGAAGGGAGTTTCGAAAGTCGAACCGGAGATTGTTACAGCTTGGACGAGACTGTAGTAGAGCAGCGGGGCAGAAATTAGAAGCCAGCGATTGTTGCAATGGAATGAAAGATTCCAAGGAGAATGAAAGAATGAATGGTGATGATAGATCGTGGTGGAGTTGAGTTTGGGTCTGGCTTACAGCGGTTACATTAGGTGCCTACCTACCTTACTAGCTCCAGGTAGCTATCGCAGCCCGGTAGAGTATCCGATAGGGCCCACGTGATACAGACATGACAATACTAGATTTTTCAAGTTGATTTGCATCTTTTAGTAAAAGAACCTTGATAGGATATATGACTATAGGTATTACTACAGAAAGAAATCATTTTCTGTCAGTTCCATGTCTCAGACTCAGCTGGTACTGTACTACACGGAAGGAAGCCAAGATAAATGTGGTCGGACAATCCCGTGATCAAAGCCAAGAGGCAGGTAACTTGTCTCTCTGTATGATGGATCTATTTTGCGCAATATCAGAGCGAGGATTAACCGTGGAACAAGTATACGAATGAACAAGTCTGGTTGTTCTAGGCTGCCACATACTACAAATGCAGCTGACACCTTGCTCTATGGAGTTCTATTACATGAACGCCTGGCAGAGGTTTCGAACACTTCAGAGCCCTCAAAAAGAAAACAATAGTCAAAAAAGTGACTCTGCTTAAAGCAGAGGGATCTTGAGGACAGTGGTGCAGCACTGAAAGTATGCTAGATTGGCCGAAAGCAACAATCAACTTGTTCTTATACTCAGCTGTATCACTCCAGGATCGGAGTGGCAGAGGACCCGATACTCTAAGAGCCCACCAAGTTCATCATAAAATATCATACGATATCCTCTATACCTATCTAATACTTTTGTCACTTAGGATTAAGAGTCTTGGGTTCTCTACGGCATCTTTGAACCTCGACAGTAGACATTCTAGGCGTTGTTTATGGCAGTGTTCGATACAACTGTACAAGACATAAAGAAGAGAAGAGTTCTGTAAGGTACTTACATTACATCATGTAATTCTTTGATTCGTGGTGTGAGTTATGGATATATCCCCAACTTTTATTGTCCCAACCGGATATAATTTAGTATATACAATCCGCTGAGTCAGGCAGGATCCATGTCATCTGTTCCTCATCCTCGGTGCCGACTTTCACAAGCCATAAAAACGAACTCCCTGTACCTGCCTGTGACATCACCCAACCAATGATAATCTCCCAATCAAAGACGTTCCCGTCCCGTGTCAACGGCTGTTGTAGAGCAACTACCTAATTAACAACTCAGTTGCCATTTTTCCACCATTTTTTGTTACTCTGTAGAAGTGAATGTGATCTGACACTAGTGATATTAATCCCTCATTCTTTATTGTATCGGCAGCATACTTCTTCATAATAACTGTCATCTTTGGTGTTTCTGGTCCAAGACATGGAAGTAAAAAGAAAAAGACCCCGCCATCGCTAGAATTGACACTTTTATTGAACCCACTCAACAAACCAACCCCCGCCAAACCCATACAGTACAGTACATCCACCAGATCCATCCATAACCCAGCTGACCTACCACAACCTCTTTCTACTAGTCTTTAACCTATAGACTCTGCCTCTACTTGTGTCTCACTTGTCTATCGCCTGTCTTTCCCTCCTCCCTCCCTCCCCCTCCTCAACCAAAGACAGAATCCGCCGCCCATCATGTCCATCTCCAACTTCCTCCTCTACTTCCTCCTCGGCTACGCCGCCCTCACAATCTTCTTCTACGCCATGTCCCTCGTCGTTCCAAAAGCCGCCTTCGCCGCCCGCGGTCTCGCTTCCTATATCTCTCTCCTCGCTGTCGCAGCCTACGGAGTCCTCGCCTCCATCTTCCTCACCATCGTCGGAAAGCAGCAGATTGCGCAATGGGCTGTCGGCCGCTGTTTTCATCATGTTATGCGCTACACCACTGGCGTTGAATTCGTCGTTGAGGACCCCGATAATGTCCTCAGTACTACGCGCCCGGCTATCTTTATCGGAAATCACCAGACCGAACTCGATGTTCTTATGCTCGGAATCGTGTTCCCCAAGTACTGCAGTGTTACTGCTAAGGCTTCGCTGAAAAAGGTTCCTTTTCTCGGCTGGTTCATGTCGCTGAGCGGTTCCATTTTCATCGATCGCAAGAACAGCAAGGATGCCCGCGAGGCTATGAAGGGCGCTGCCAGTGAGATTCAGTCCAAGCGACAGAGCGTCTACATGTTTCCCGAGGGTACTCGAAGCTACGCCAAGGAGCCTATGCTGTTGCCTTTCAAGAAGGGTGCTTTTCACCTTGCTGTCCAGGCCGGCGTGCCCATTGTTCCCTGTGTTGTCGCAAACTACAGCCATATCATGCACCCCAAGACTCTCACTTTCAAGTCTGGAAAGATCCCCGTTAAGGGTACGTATAACTACTCTCTTCAGCTGTCCAGATATCTAACTGTATGCAGTTCTCAAGCCTATTCCCACCAAGAACTTGACCGCCGCAGACGTTGACGAGCTTACTCGTACAACGCGCGAACTTATGCTCAACGAGCTCGTCTCTCTCACAGCAAAGGCCCGTGGCCAACCTATGGCTGTGCCCGCTTCACTTGACTCAACAACTGGCAAGAGCTCAGCCATCGACACAAATGGCTCGGCGCATTAAATCGTAACTTCAGTAAATAAATAAAAAGAATATTATTGAGGAGGAGGAGGAGGAGGAGGAGGAGGAGGAAGACTGGGTAGGATAGGGATGTGGAGTTTGCCATACGGGGAGTCACGTCGGATGCAAAGACTTGAGGCAGCCTTTTGATACCCCCATAGACGCATGCATGAGGCGGCTTGTGCTCGTTAGGTTTACGGGCTTGAGCTGAGCCCAACTGTTTTTGTTTACTGTTTCTGCTTTTCGTTACTGGAGCTTGCTTGCTGGCGCATTTGCGCTTGTTTGCTTTACCTAGGTTCATGAGGCGGGCTCACAAGGTGTTTTCAGAATTTAGTCGCATGACGGAATAAATAGACGTATATACGTATCCGGCTGTCGATCACTTCCTCCCAATGTCATGGGAATTCACACGTGTACAGGTTTGTGTATATCTCGTACACTTTTCGTGTTTCATTCGATAACGTCTATCATCATCTACACGCCAAAACCGGAGGATCAGAAACGAGATTCAACTCCAAGATCGCCATACCCGACCTGCCGTATATCTCGCCATGCTCCGAGACCAACCAATTACAAGGAAATATCGCTACAGTATAAAAACCACACAAGAAATCGATGAAGCCCAGCTTTTGAATATAGCAAATGCACCGACAAGCTTACTCTCTAAGCGCCTGCAGTGCTTGCGTCAATGATACGACCCTCAGACTTCGGCCCCGTCTCGGTGTGCCCATAGCAGCTGAGCTGGTATGTGTTGCCGTAGGACTCAAATCATCTCGCCAGAAACGGAAGACACGCTTCAGATCCCGAGGAATACCTTCCAGTACGACCGTTGAAATGGGCACAAAAGGACGGTCCTCCATGCCCGCGGCAAGGATGGCATACTCTTGAGCAAAGTCGAGAGCGTTGCGGAAAGACGAGTATTGCGACTGAGCACGGGCGCCAACAATGATATACATCTCAAAAAATGCGTCAAGAACATAAATGTGTTCAGGGGAAAGGTCATGCTGGTTGAATGGAGCGATCTCAAAGACCTGTTACTTGTTAGTATGGGGGTAGTTCGAGTCAACGTATGATCAACATACCTGTTGCCGTGTGTCTGCATCTGAGCAGAAGAGTCTGCTGCAGTACTTGGCATAGTTGGGCTTGAGTCTCCAATGATCAGCCGAGTGAGGCTTTGATCCGCTTTCAAAAAGTTTCCAAAATGACTCAGACTCATCGCCATCGTCGGCCTCGATCAATTCTCCAGTGAGTGCAAGCTCAATAGCAATGAGCTTCGCCGCACTCAGCTCGGTTACATCGCATCCTCGTCCCTTCCAGATATAGGCCTTACCCTGACTGGTGAGTACATAGACGAATCCTGCGCAGAGGCTAGATGGGCTAAAATCACACTCATCGAAAGCGACCTGGCCCTGATAGCGCCGGCCGCAGAGCATGTTAGGTGCCAGTGAGTCGTACTTATTGCTTGAGCCGCGTCTGATCAAAACAATTCCACCAAGAGCTTGCAAGAACTCTGTTGTCTCCTTGCCCTGCTGCATCCTGACAAGCTTACCTCCCAATGCCTTGGCTTCCTTCTGAACGAAAAGAAGGGCATCGTCAGCAGCCGATTCAGGAACTTGGTCGCCGACCCAGAAATAGATCTCCAGGCGCTTCCAGCCAGCCTCGTTTGTGAAGCTGTGGGGAGCAATGTACATCTCTCGCTCAAACAATGTGCGCTCGTTATGAGCCGAAACAGGTGTCTTCTTGCCCTCCGCTGAGATCTGGAACACTTGGAAGCTGAGACTCTGGATCTTCAGAGGACCTGTTGGTGGTCGGTTTGTAAGAAGCTCAGCAGCATCTACCTTGTACTCAGACCTTGACGGCTTTGGCCCAAAGAAGTCTGTCAGTAGACTTGCAACATCACTTCCCTGGCTAGGGGTCTTTGGTGGTGCGGTTGATGATGTTTGTTGAGGCTTGGGGGTCTGCGGGGCTTGGGGAGTCTGGGGTTCCTTGGTAGGGGGTGTTGGCAAGGGGCGGGTGGCCGCTCGAGATGGAGTCTTATTAATTTGTAGAGGAGAAGATCGTCCAGGGTCAGGAAGGGGGCGAGGAGATGCTCTTGGTGGTGTTTGTACGGCTGAAGGCTCTGACCTGTCCCATGAGGGCTTCGATGCTAGAGGTGGAGGTTGAGCAGCACCGCCAAACATGGCTCTGGCATTCTTCACAGAGACAACGGGGTCACTATCAACCTTTGTCGGGGATGAGGGCTCAGGCTCAGGCAGTGGCCGTTGGAACATCTTCACGGGAGACCGAGAGCCTGTTCGCTGATGCGTCAGACGAATGGGCTCCTTGGCAGGTTCCGATGTGCCGTTTGATGACGGGCGGTCCATGAATCGAGACATGCGGTTGTTGTCAAGTTTCTTAGGTGAGCCAGGTTGTGAAGCGGCATCACCAGTCTTTTGAATCCTTAGTGGTGAGGGATAATCACTGGGGAGGAATTCACTCTTGGGAGTCTGTTTGGAAGAGAACGAAGATGTTTGATCATCGCGGGTCTGGAATCGTCGAGGTTCATCCTCTTGAGACTTGATAGGTGTGGGTTTTGTGGGTGTAGGCTTTCCTCGTATGGCAGCCTTGGCAGCAACTTGCTGTTGAATAGAAAGAGGAGCAGCAGTTGACTCCTCCACCTTCTGGGTAAGAGGTGTCTGTTCCGCTGGCTTCTCCTTGACAGGTTCAACGGGTTTCGGTGTAGCAGGCTTGGGCTTTTCTTGGACAGGTTTTTGTTCAGCTGCTGGAGCTGCAGAGACGGCTTTAGGGGCAGCTGAAGTCGGAGCCTTTCTTCTGGGACCTCGTGCTCGACCCTTAGTCATATGTGTCAGCTGCGGGCCCGGAGCAGAAGGTTCTGTAACTGTTTTGGTGGAAGCTCCCTTCGGATCAGATTCGTCTGAGAGCTTTTCCCCGTTGACAGCCATGGGTGGCGGTCCTCGTGCAAGCATGCCGGCCAGGGCTGGGTTGAACCGTCCAGCGAGCTTACCTCCTACACGCCCCTGTAGTCTAGCAGGTGAGCTCGTTTCTTTGTGCAGGCCTGGCAAGGCCCGCGGTTCCTCCGGTTTCGCGCTAGATTCGGTAACTACTCGCTTTAGACCCTCGTCAGCGGGTTCTGGGGCGGATTCAGGAGCGGGCTTGGGCGAAGAAGGGGTCTGGTTGGGTATCCTCTTGGGGCCTGGTGTCGGCTTGGGCGAACTTGGCTTACTCGGTGTAGGTGGTGACTTTAGTTCAGCCATGGACTTTCTCTTCGCCATCTCAGCCCTTCTAGCAAGGCCCTCTGGTAGTGGCGAATCGTTCGTGGGAGTGTTGCTCCTTGAGATGCCCTTGCCCTCGACCTGAGCTTTCTTAAAGTCATCCTTCTTTTTCAGAATAGCCTCCTTGAACTCATCCACCCTCTCTGTCTTTTGTGGACCACCTGTCTGGCTGAGGGAAGCCTTGCCCTTGAGGATGTTATCTTTCAACTCATCAGGAGCCACATAGTTCTGTGTCTTGGTCCTACGAAGAGTGCCAAAAACGTTCTTGAACTCAGGTTCCTGGGTTTTTGGCGCTTCTGACCCTGTTGGCCGATGCCTCAATGAACTGCGGAAGTCCTTCTTTGGTGGTGTCTCAGGCTTAGGTTTGGGCACAGGCGCAAAGGGTTTTACTTCTTTGGGGCTAATAACCGGCTCATCCTTGGCAGGCCCCGATGCCTTCTTCTCCTCTTCGGTGAGTTCGGGGTCCGGGACTGGCTCAGGATCAGGAACAGGTTCGGCTTCAACCTTGGCAGCCTTGTTCTCAGTTGGGGTTCCATGCTCGAGCTTGGGGGCACTCTTGGAAATGCTCAAACTCGCACCGTGGTTGTAGGGTCGGTTGCCACCAGGGGGAGGAGAGTAGATGCCGCCAAGGCCAGTGGTGTTAGTCTTCGTAGCAGTTCCCATAGGCGTAGACCTCATAAGTCCTCCGATACTAACTTGGTGCTTATGAGAAATAGACCCTGGACGAGGCCGTGTCGTTCCTTCAGCGCCGGGAACACCTCCCTTGTTCTTGTTTAGCTCTGCCATCCAAGCCGGCTGCGATGAGCTCGATTTGTGGTGAGTCTTGGGTGACTCAGGTGGCTTATTCAAAGCACTCTCAAGCCAACTTGACTTGGTAGGACTCCACCTTCGAGGATCCATAGTCTTGGAAGGGCTGGTAGGAATTGGTGCTCCCTCCATGGCAGTGTCAATTGTAGGAGCTTTTGGTGTGACCTCGTTATCAGACTCTCCATGTCGAGATGTTGGCCGGCTCGAGTTTGGCGTTGTTGATTCAGGTCGCCCCTTGCTCTGGGGTCGCGCGTTTACAGATAGACCGCCGCCTTGGTTCGACTGGATCGAATTGGCGCGATTCAGACCAGGAGGGCTTGTAACGCTCCATCGCTTAACACTATCTGATCTCTTCATCATGGCACTCTGCACAAATCCGCCCATGCCCTTGGTGGGCGAGTTCGATCGCGAGTTGGATCGAGTAGGAGATATACGCCCTGACATGCTTCCGAAGCGATCTCCCACGGATGTGTCTTCGCCGGCGTCGAAGGCTGGGGGATTCAGCGTTGGGGGACTTGCCAACCTCATCTTAGTAGGAGTAGCAGGTTCCTTAGCAGATTCCTTGACGGGTTCCTCAGCCGGTGGGCTTGGTTTTGGTTGTTCGGCTGTCATGCCTGGTAATTGCGCCTTGACAGAAGCCATATCCAATCGATCAGTATCCTCGACCTGGTTCTTTCGGTAAGCAGCTGAATTGGCTCCACGGTCGGCTGTCTGGCGGAACCATGAAGGATCCTTGGATCCAAGGGCATGGGCAATCTGGTCCTTTGAGAAAGTCTGCTCAGTGGCTGAAGCTGGAGCTGGAGCTGGGGAAGATTCCTGCGACCCAATAAACGACCGCTGGGTCGCATTTTGGGTTGCGAGCATGCTCAACGGTCGGGCAGAGCCGCTGCGGGAGTTAGGTCGCCGCTGCCATGACAATGTAGAGTAACGGGTAGGTGTAGTCGCGGGCTTGGCATCGACATCAACAGGAGACTCGTTCTCCTTGGTCGGAGAGGAGCTGACATCCATTGGAGCTTTGGGCTTTGCTTCAGGCTCAGATGATGGTGAGGCGGCGTCGTCCTTGGACAAACCGGGGGAGTCGAGCCTCAATGCCTCGGATAAATGAACGCTACGACGACTCGAACGTGGTGAGGGAGTATTCGCAGGGGAGGACTTTTGTGGTGAGATTGATCGTGCACGTTCTGTCAGTGGTGATTGTGGTTAGCAAGAGGACATCAACGGTGATTATGTGATTTGAGCATCAATGCATCCCAAAGCCAAGACAAAACCATGGGTAAGCCAGTAAAATAAGAATACAACAACGGAAAGTAAACAGCGGGTGTACGACGGAGGATGTTGCCCTGGAAATTGGGAGAGGGAACGCCATCAATGCAAGCAACAAAGCCCCTCGGACGGGAGTCAAGCTGCAAGCAACAATAGGCGCCCAAGCTCTTTTTCTTCTTTGTTTTTTTGTTCTCTTCTCACCTTCACGACGAGCTTGTCTTTCTCGCTTGGCGGCCAAGTATTCTTCAAGCTCACGAGCCCTCGTTTCGTCTTCTTCGATCTGTTGACCACGCAGGCGCTCGACCTGCTCGAGAAATTGGGAGACTTCGTCGGACATGGCTCTGGGGCCTTTGGGACATGACACGGAAGGGGGTGGATGTTTTAGAAGAAAGACGGCGCGGCGTGGGCCCTTGGCTTTTTTGGATAGTAAGCGCGAGCAGGAAAATACACAATGCAGTCCTACGCACAAGGTTGCAGTAGGTGTTATAGACTGTTTCTGCTATCTCCCAAGAGCCTAACGTAGCCTTGAGATGTGGTGCTGGTGGGAAGTTGATAATGGGTCGCTCGACTGGGATGGGATCATGTCTGTTAGCTACAGTGGAAATTTCACATGGCGCTTCTGCGATCTGATTGGTTTATGACCGTCTCCAGGTGTGTCTGTCTCTAAAACCAGCTACAAGAGGGGGCCGCTGTAGCGCCTATGCAACCGAAGTCTCAGGGGCAATCGCTCCCGCTCGCTAGGGAGGGACTGCTTGACAGATTCCGACCCAAATGCGGCCATCAACGGACGGGAATGTCTTTAATTTTGGTGCATATCAGAGCTCGATCTCATGCAAAAATGTGCATGATCCTCGTCTCATCACTTGCATGATGCAGAATCGAAACTATGAAGATTCAATTGATTCCATAGGCACCTCAGCTTCACTCACATGTTGTGTTCCATGCGCTATAAACAAAGACCAATATAAAACGTCATCCTTTGTTTACTTTCAACTTCCCCCACGGGCGATCCACTACAATAACAAACCCAAACCATGGCTTGAATCCGTTAAACCTTGTCATGTCTTGGTTCGTGTACCAAGTGAGGAGTACGTATCTTATTGCTCTTATGCCTCAGACCACGCAAGCAGGTTATCTCAGATTTCTCGATCGAAAATACGACCTTGTAAGGTTAGCACAAACTGCACGCGGCACTTGGTGATGCTCTCCCGCTTCCCTGCTCTTCGCTAGACGAGGCCTGTAAAGATTGCGTGCTGTAAAGTTTTGCGGGACGTTTTACGTTGCCCGGCGTAACGAGTCTATTATATTGGATTTCAACGTTTTAGCTTGCTGACTTTCTTATGCATATCCACGCTTTGTGGCTGGTTGCTTCGAAGTCTCGCGGCTATCCACACTTTGTGGTTTGTTTGTTGCTTTTGCAAAAGGACATCCTGTTGTGAGGCCAACAGGAACCATTGAGTTGAGCCAGTTCTCGCTTAGTAGAGGAATAGTCGCTTCTTTGCATCCTCTACCACCCACGATAGTCCTTCTTTAAGGTTGGCTCCAGTCATGGCGCTGCATGGCAGGATGTGCCATCGATGTGTTCGTATCGATTCCAGTTGTAACTCCTAAATATCATGGTGAGCTTGGTCATGTTCACATATTCCAAGGCTTGAACGTACCGAGAGAATCTCCTCTTCTGTCATACATCCCTCAACATCTGTTTTGTTGGCAAAAACAAGCAGACTTGCCCCTGCAAGACGCTGTACCACTTGTCAGTAGCTATGCGGCCGTTGCCGTGTCATATCACGCACCTCTTCTAAGAGTAAACCTTGAAGCTCGTCTCTGCAGTCTTGAATGCGTAAACGATCCGTTGCGTCGACAACCCAGATCAAAGCATCTGTCTTTTCGAAATAGTTTCTCCAGTATGACCGCAACGTTTTCTGTCCACCCACGTCCCCTGGGGAGTCAGCTCATCTCATGGAGTCGGCATATTCAGGTAACACACAGATGTTTAATTTGTAGCTGTAAGGGCTGTCAGCGGTGTTCTATGATGAATGAAGTCCTTCTTACCCCTCGTAGTCAATCGTCTTGATGATGAAACCTAATGTTGGGCTTACGGTATTGACATCTTCTCCCATAACCCTTTTAACGATTGTGGTCTTTCCAGCATTATCCAATCCGCTATGAAGAGTTAGTCAGACATTCTTAATGGAATAGGACATGGCCATACTCACAGCATCAGGATTCGCATCTCCTTGTCCTTGAGTCGGGCTTTTCGCAGGATTGACAACATTTTGATTCACGAGATGTGTGTTGAACAGACTTGATAGTGAGACAAGCCAAGCACTCCAGCTTAGTTCTTAGGCAGTTTTGTCGGTTATTTGGTCTTTATAGGCTTTCTTTCTTGATCACCGAACTATGAAGGTCGTTGAATTCAGTTGCCTGCAGCTCTCATGGCTCCACGTGATTGGTGCTCGCTTGATCTTCTTCACCCCTCCGACTTCACCACTCGTATTGGATGCTATGCCTCAGCAGCCACTGTCAATGGGTAATCTACATAATATGACTCTCATGAACATTTTAACTATTATCTACATCCTGTGTTTGCATGCGTTACTTTTTATATCAATACACTCGAACTTGGCCTCAACATTTCCTATCGCGCATATAGTTCGGCGGCAAACAACCAAAACTCAACAGTCCCGGCGCCTGTACATGTATATCTCATTTATCCTCCACAATTTCAGAAGCCGGGCGTGCCTCATGTTCCCATACAATTAGGTCTTTCCAGACGCCTGGATGGTTTCCATGCTTAACAGCTTCCTTGAAATTCACAACTTTCGCGAAATCGTACTTCTCCAGAAGCCTTGCCATCCACTGAATTCGAGAATCGTCCTCGCCATCAAAGAATGTCTCCAAGTACAGCTTGCTGTACTTTCGTTCATTGTGTGCAGGAATTTCTTCGTACGTCTTTCGGGGCTCCGAGCAATTCCAGGTGTAGTCCACAAGACTGCGATGGTAGATAGACGTGGACAACAAAATTCTGTCCAGTAATGCCGACCCGACTAGCATTTGGCGATGCTTTGGGTCAACGATGAGCTTGATTTGCCCAGAGAACCTGGCTCCCTGGCATGCGTGGCCCAGGAAGTCCTGTCGAGAATCATCGACAAAGGCGAAGCCAAGGATGTTCGGAGTCTCTAAGGCTTCCTGGGATTTCATATATCCAAGGAGTTTCTGATAACGCTTTTCATCGGCCTTAGACCATCCAGAACGGTTGGTAATCTCACAGGGAGATTCGATCGCCACAATGAAAGGGCGATGGTTCGACATGCAAGTGTTGTACAGTTCTGCGATTTGTGCACGGTCAACCTCGGATAGGTAGACCTGCGAATCTTCTCGTTGCATCTCTTCACTGATGATGTTTGCGATGCCCTGGAAGTCCTTAGCCTGGACAGGTCGAAGAGTGCAATCTGCATCGGGCCACTTGTCTTCCTCGTGCGTCATGTTCGCATATTTCTGTTCTTCCTTTTTTCGTTCAATCTCTTCTTTCTTGCTTTGGCGTAAATCCAGTTCGCGGGCGATATAGCCTTCAGAATGTGTGACCGCGCGGCGCCAATTGTGTTTGGCTTGTGTGTCTTTCTGAATCTTGATATATCGCGGCGGAGGAATGAGCTCGCCAGTTGCAGGATCTATATCACAATCGTCCACCCGAGGGTGACGGTTTTCGGTAAGGTTAAAGATGGGATAGTCCTCTTGCTGTCTCTCCCACTCCTCAACGGCTGTCATTGAATTCAGATTGACTTGGACAAGGGCCATATCGTCATCATCTTCATGATCATATGGTCGAGGAGCGTTCCATGCCGCCATTTCATCTGAAGACACAGGACCAGCACTCAGCGCCATGGAGGCGGTGCTGAAGGATCGTTGTCGGAGAACGACGGCGGTTGAAGCTGCAGCAGCTTGGATGATGTGCAAGGGAGCTGGTAAGGGAGCGCCTCCAATTTCCGACGAGATGTTACCGATCGACTTCTCTTTAGGTGAGTTCCAAGTGCCCATGGAGCTGTGTTCGAAGTCATCTGTCCCTTCCGAATCAACGATTTCTGGTGTTTGGCGAGAGGGAGCGCGAACAACTTCCTGTACAGGCGTTTGATAATGAGCGGGAGAAGAATCAACGGCTTCTTTCGAAAGCCTTCGATGCGGAGGAGTATGAACTGCCTCGTTCGCGCTTGTTTGGAGAGGAAGCGGGCAACGAAGTCCCTTCTGCCTATTCCAATAGCTCTGCTGAATAGTAGGACGGTCTACATTATTCGATGTCCCTTGCGACCCGAGGAATCGCTGCTTAACCGCGCCCGCAGGCAGAAGCTGCTGATTGGGAGTTTGATGAATGCCAACGAGTTGTCCCATGCCTTGAATGCGCTGCAGCGAATTGTGGACGTTTGGCGAAGGCGTGCTGCCATTTCCTCCACCACCCCGACTGCTGGGGGTCCACGACATGGTTTACAAAGTTGGCTTTCCTTTGTTAGTTCATGCGGATGGCAGGAAGAAATCTAGCAAATGAAGACGAACCTGTATAAAGGCGACACAAGCGAGTGTATTCCTGGCAACACAGCGATGTATAGAAACAGCAGCGCAAAGAATGATGATGGGACAACAGAATTCGGAAATTATCATGGAAGAAAACAATTAAAGAGAAGAGTGAAAGATGGCCAACGCTCTCCCTGTCCGGGCGAGTGAATGTTGACTTTTGGTAGTGGTGAAGAAGAAGAAGAGAAACTCCAGCTTGTTTATTAAGTATGTGGTACTGTGTGAAGAAGAGAAGCCCGGGCTCAGATCCTGCCTAGCAACGAGACTGGAGGAAAATGACGGGAGGCCACTGCCACTTGCGAACAGTGGCAGATTTCTAGCACGACCTCTCTGCGAATGATAATACGGTACAAGGTGAACCCAATATATTATCAAGGGCTACTGCAGGCCGAGAGACGAGACAACAGAGCAAAACACGGATAAGTGCATATCTTCATCGGAAGTCGACAACATCTCTACCCGAAGTCGAATAGGTCCCATTACTGCAGGGGTTCAAGTGTAACAAATGAACAATTAAGAAACATGAATAATATATCAACGAGGGAATCTAATAAACAAAAGGAATTATATTTGCAGAGCTCTGCCATGTGTATCCTACATGTTTGTTTCCCAGGGTATATCCAAACCAACATCAAAACATCAACCCCATACTCCATATATAAAGTATCAACTCCACCTACTCCTCATCACTATCCTCCATCAGTCTTCGTCCATCCTCTCGCAACTGATCCCACAGACTCTTCTTGGGCTGGCTCCGAGTCGACATACGTGATGTTCGATGACCCTTTTGACCACCATTAATGGCTATAGATGGAGCCAATGAACCCACGTTCTCTTGTGAGCGTCTAAACCCAGGATGCGAAGAGTAAACGCTCGACGCTACAATTTTTGGAGCAGCTGAAGTTCGTTGGCTCCTAGCCCATAGCGGCCGAGGAGTTGATGGCTCCCCATCTTCAGATGGGAGACCCGTCTTGAACCCGTATTTCCGACAGAAGTCTAAATGTGCTTGATATTCGGCGTATGTGGTAGACTCTCGACCGCTTCCCTTGGTTGGCTCGATAGTGTCTTGACGAGGAGATGAACCCCCTGCAACACTTGCTTGAGGCGAAAATACCGAGACTGGCACCCACTCAGTTTCCGCAGGGCTATTACCGGCAGTGGTATCAGGTGGACTAGGCCCTCTGCTGAAGCTAAGAGGAGGTGGCACGGCGCTTGGGTTGCTGTAGACAGATGATGTTTCCATGTATTCATTTGACACGACGCTTGTTCTCCTTGCAGTATGAGTAGAGGCTCTCTGTTCATTTGACATAATGCTTTGTCTCTTGGCAGTAGCAGTCGAGGCTCTCTTGTGCTGTTCAGGCGCATAGTCCCTCTGCAGTCGATCATTGAGAGACATGTTCCTGACACTCTCTGCATAGTCGCTGAAGGCAGGATGCATATCGTCCTCAAAGAGCTGTCGTCGTTCATCGGCCGTAAGTCCTTGTTGCTGCATCTGACAATCCATCCATAGTGACGCCTGGTACTCCACGTCTTCATCCATCCAATTTTGCTCGCCCTCTTGAAGCTGAGCACTCGATTGACTTGATCTTGATTCTGGACGAAGGAATGAGCTTCTATCCTCTTGGCTGTCGTTGCTGTAGCTTGGTCGAGGCGACTGTTCATGAAATGATGGCCGAGCACGAGTACGGCCGCACCTACCGTCTTCTTCATATGCTCTAGATGGATGGCCATTACCTGATCGATATGAAGATCGAGATATTTGAGATCCCGGACGTTCCTCTCTCAGGCAGTTGATGGTGTCAATCAGATTGCTAAGTTCTTCGCTGATCTCAGCACTTCCGGTGTAAATGGCCCTACGACAATCAGCATGCTGGTGTGAGATCCAAGACTCAACAAGTCGGAGAAGTCTTGGATCTTTACCACCTCGGTCGATGTGGCGATCCCGTCGCGTGGTCAATGTCGCTCGTAGATCGCCAAGCACCTGAGGTCTACCACCAATGACCGACATAATGCAAGCTTCGCACTTGCTTTTGACTACTAGGTTTGTAGGCGAAACACGCTTGTAGCCAAAAGTGGCATTGAAAGCTGTACGACCGATCCAAAGTCCAGTCACGGCATCGATGCGATCCAGCCATGCGATAACAGCACTGGGATAAGCGATACGCTGTCGCCAAGTACGCACAGTTTGGATACGTTCAGTGCATTCGGCGATGATCAAGAGCATAAGACGCCGGATCAACTTAGGATCGAGACCATAATGAGCACAGCAAAGACATGCTGTTGGCGAACCGTCAGCTCCAAGTCTATAAGACAGACTTTCAAGTTTGGCAGAAAGACGGGCCAAAAGTTTGGTGGAACGCCGGTTTGACTTGTCGAGTGTAGCTATACGAGCTTGCTGGTCTAGCAACCAGTCTTTATCCGGCACAGCTATGTTGACTCCTGGATCCATCCATAACAGGTCCGTGAGCTGGTCAAGCTGGCGGGTTGATATGTCAGGTAGAGGCATATACCCGATCTCCTCATCTGAGTCGTAGTTTGTACGATGGGGTGCCATTATGAACACTATGAGATTAATTCTTGGTGGAAGACAAGAACATCAAGACAAGGCTGCCGCATCAATTTGCTTGATAGATTGTTCAAATAGAAGCAAAATCTCCATAAAGTTGCTCCGATAGAAAATCATAGATCTTGGTTGTTTGCTTCCTTCACTGGCACCATATGCCTTATATAAAAGTTCTTGTATCTAACCATGATGAACACAGACAGTGACTCGAGGGTAACATCAATGTGTTCCAGAGTCGGCGTACATCCTCAGTGTGAACAATGCAGTAACCAATTCTTCAACGAAGCAGGATATCGGTGGAATGGACGTGCTGTTCTCGGAGTGAATGGCTTTGTGCGAACAAAGTTACCGACATGGACTAGATCCTCCAAACAAAGTGTTAGCGGGGACTGAAATCTTTGCCATGTTGTTCTGCACACCTACCTATGGCATCCCAAGATCAATCGTGGAGAAGAGCCAAGGTGTGAAGGACAACTCAAAGAAGCCACAGGCTATGGGCAAACATAGTGCTATGGATGAATAGGTGAATCCGCTAGTCGTTCGATCCTGGTGAAGCAAGGTTCTCGTGGAACATTTGTCCGATTTTTATTTCTTCTGACAAAGGGAACGAGATGAACAGTTAAGTTGTTCACATACTGATGGAGCCATGTTGGGCTCTTCAACGCTGTCCATCGAAAATGCACAAGTCCTTCCAGTCGTAGCGTTGCGTAAGAGACCAACTGCCAGAGATAACTCCTAGTAAACAGAAAGGGCGACGAAATACGATGGCTGTGGCACTAGAATACAAGAGCAAAATTGAGTCGGCATCAAATCCTCTCCTTGCGTCGATACCTATCCTTCAATGCAACGCCTTGGAAAACCAGAACTCCGTGATCATGCTCATATGTCGTTAGTGGGGTATCAGACTTTGGTCATCAACTTCGGACATATCCATGTCTCTGAGCCTGTTGTTCCATGCGTATCCGCTCCATGCGGATCTTAGCCGCCTCGGTGCCGTCGTCAGGTTGGGCCATCTCCTTGAGCCAAGGATGCTGCAAGGCTTGCTTTGCAGTAATGCGATGGGCAGGATCATAGACGAATATCTTCTTTAGCAGATCGACAAAGTTCTTGAGGAAAGTATTATTTCCAGGAATGATTTGCTGCCATCTGTTAGCACGGGTCATTAAGCCACGCAAATAGCTTCTTACATCGAGGTGCTTCATCGCCTTCACGAAGCGGCGAGAACCGCGAGTTGTATCTGGCGTGGGATAATCAAGCTTAAGTCGCTTGAAATATCTGAGAAGTGTTAGTATATAAACCAGGAAAAAACTCAGGAGAAGACTGACTTGGAAGCGGCATTGCCATTACTTCTTGTAGACATCTTGTTGACAGCCTGGACAAGATGGCTATCGATTCGTGATCCGACGACAGCTTCCATCATGGCCAGATGTTCCAAGTTATCGTGAGTCTGGAAGAGAGCATCACCCGTAAAGAACTCGACAAGGATGCATCCTATGCTCCAGATGTCGCAAGGGAACGACCATCCAAGTCCAAGGATGATTTCTGGGGCTCGGTAATGGCGTGTTGAAACCACGGAGGAGTGGTACTCGTCTTGGAATGTGGCAGAGCCAAAGTCAATCAGCCGAATCTCGGTATCCAGTAGAACACGGCGCTGTGTAGCTTGACGGCTGATGGTTGTAGATGAAGAAGGAATCTTGCGGTTATACGTAAAGGTCTGATAGGCATGATTACAGAGCAAGATGTTCTCGGGCTTGAGGTCGGTATGAATCAAGTTGAGGTCGTGCAGAACTAGGCCAAATTAATGCACTGCCAAACAAGATTGTTCGTTCGTTCCACTTACAAGCAACACTGGTGAAGAGTTGTCGGGCAAAACTCTGGATTTGACTGTTAGGGAAAGGAACGAATCCATTACCCTTGAGGAAATCAAAAACACTCTGGTCAAGCAAGTCCATAACGATACAGATGTGACCGCGATAATCGAAACAGTCTCGCAGATGGATGCATCGGTTACGGTTCTCTGCATCGTTTCGTTTGAGGGTTTCGAGAACGCGAAGTTCTATCCGTGAGGCATCTCTGTATTTCTGAACTGATCGGATGATTTTGACCGCCACGGCCTTGTTGCGTTTTCGATCGTGGGCTTCAACGACCTTACCGAAGGTTCCCTGGCCCAGTAGGCGGACAATCTGGTCTGTGGATTTTGTTAGATACGTCCGAAGAGAGAGCATGATGGACTTACACTTCTCTGTGAGTTCAGCATCAGGAACGACAATGTAATGACCATCGTCATCGTCGACCTTGACGTTTTTGTTGTAATGTCGCTACCGATTTGTTAATAATCTCATCTCAACCTGTTAAGTAATGTGGAGTCAAAACTCACGTCATGGATAACTTGTACATTAACGTCAGACGCCTTCTTGGGGGGGAAGGGTGGAGGCTTGTATGTGAAGAAGTCACCGAGGCCATCTACATCGCGACGTTTGGCTTCGTTAGCCACCTGTTGACGGGTGCGCTTTCGCTTAAGGGGAGCCAGTCCCTCCTCATACTGGCCGTTGGACGAAAGTGACGTCGGGGCGGTAGTGTTAAGTGCCGAATTGGTGCGGTCACTGCTGGAATTGGACGAGCCCGCTGGTGTTGACACCTGCAAAGGGGTGTTGTGTTGTGATTCAAGGTATTTGATGTGATAACCCGAAGCCTGGACAGTGCCAGACTCGTCTTCTCGTCTTCTCTTCTTGGCCACCTGACTGCTCGTGTTATCGTTGGGCGCAGCAGCAGTGCCATTCGTAATTTTCCGGCTAGTGTTTGCTTCAGGTTCGGGCGTATCGTCAATGACGATGATTTCCTTTGGTAGGCCATTCTTGTAGAAGGTGCCCCAGTCTGGCTCTCTGGAGCGTCTACGCTTTCTCGAGGGTTGCTCAGCGCGAGTGGCAGGGGCACGCTCCGTCATGCTTCCTGCAGAGTATGCCGCGTCGTGTCGCGGGCTGGGTTCTTGAGCGTGGTGTGCAGAGCGAGAATTGGAGTTGGTCAAACTTATTCCATTCGAACCCGATGAAGAGTATCCCAAAGGCGAGAGCTGGTATGGCGGCGGCAGAATGGCACTGTGGGAAGGCGACACGGCCGAAGAGACCGGAGGCGGTAGGATATTCTGATTCGATACAGTAGAACGAAAATTGGCGCTGGGGTTCGGCTGATAGGTCTGATGATGCGTGTGCGAATGGGCATATGAGGGCTGGTAATGGTGAGGATGGTAGGGTGGAAGCGTAGCCGTCGCTGTAGTTGGTGTTGACATGATGGGGGAAGCCAAAGCCACCCAAGGGCTTTAGAAGCGGCTGTAGCGATCACGAAAAACAAAAACGAGGGATGGGCAGTTTCGCTGTATCGGACGGTACAGGCGACCGATCAAATCGTCGCGTCGATTCGTATGTGTAGGCCTTCTTGAGGTTCATGTATGTACGAAGGAGGAATCGTGAGTGAAGAGGAGAAGGAAACAACCGATGAGCGAAGAGAGGCGAGATGGAACGGGACTGGGGAAGGACCCGGGGGCGCACCTCCTAGTTTGGTGAATGGTTTTGGTGGTGAGGGTGGTGGATAGGTGTGCCCAGACGGGATAGAGGGAGCAAGAGCGAAGGAGGGAAAAAAGCGCTCGCCCAGTGAAGGCCAGTGACCTAGGTACAGTGGCCTCAGCGTGTGAGTTAGGGGTTAAGGCTACGAAGGGGCACTGTAGCGGTAGCCCAGTCCACTTATGTTCAGCTTATCGCAGGTCACGTCTCTCTGGGTTGGAATATTCTTGCTTTTCTCTCAAGAACTGAGACTAATGTGTGGGGATGAATGGACGAGGCGAGGGTCATAGCCAAAAGAAAAGCGAAGTCAGTTCAAGTGGAGTGACTTCAAGAGTCCATCCAAGCCCGGTTGAAGGCGTCACGGGCATCCCATTTGTCTTGGAAAAAGCGTTGGCCAAAGTTACGAGTGGCCGGGGCAGATTTGAGGGGATCCATTCTGGGTGACGTTGGTCAGATAGAGATTTGTCTTTGAGTACATTTCCTACAGGCGGTGACGTCTAGTGGTAGCATGTATTTTTGGCGTCATCCTCAACAGTCCCCATCAAGGAGTGGGTGGATTTGTCACTCACGGATGTTGTGTTGTGTCTCCTCTCCTCTTCTCCTCCTCTCGGTTTACGATTTTGGGGTCAAGAAGAAGAGGCGGAATTCCAGTGGAACTGGACAGGAAATACAGAGGTACTTTTATCGTACTGTGGCGTCGCGATTCGGCTCTCCAGGGCACTTCGGTTGGAAACCAGGGTCCATCACTTACAGGGCTTGAGTGGAAAGGGTTGTTTTAGGGAAGATGCCCGGCCAAGTGAGGCAAAGTGCTAAACGCTTGTGCCTGTCAGTGAGTTACAATAAAGCTAGGATGCTTGATTCAGAACTTGAGCTCAAATTCTGGACGTAACCGAAAGGCCACAACTTAGGACCTTGGTCCTAAGTGATAAAATGACTTAGATAAAGTATTAAAATCTTAGAATATCATTTTAATAATTTATTTTGCCTATGTTGAGGCCTGAAGTTTTGTTGCTCCCAGAGGCCAGTACATTTAGACTGCGGAATAATAACTTCACTCCGTAAGAAAACACAACGAGTAAAATCTATAGATGAATATCCAATCTTGACCTCGAAAGATATCCCGTCATTAAAAACAAAAACAAATATAGAGTACTCTCAGCTTATATCACCTGAGATGAAATGCATTGCAATGTCGCTAGATTGTCCTCGGCTGTCTTGCTTATTAGGCAATCTGGAAGAAATCTTTCAAACAGATGTGAGAAAGGGCAGGGACTACTATCGTGTGAACGAAACATTGGATGTTAATAATCAGTCCAGATGACGATATGAGACGTTCAGATCTCGGTACTTTAATAAATAGAACAAACCAGTTGATCCCTTGATCGCTTCCGTCTTTCAGGTAGATCCTCATCATTGTTTGATGTGCCTTGTAATTGGCCTTTCGTGTCATGATGGAAGGTGTGAGGATGACCTGAAAGGCTGGAAAGAGGGCCCGTTCTGTGACGGGTGCCGTAGGTACAACCAAGACGAGACCCACAAAGTACAGCCATCGCATCACACGATGATTCTGGCCTTGGCCTAAACGCCATGGTACCTCCAAGGTTTCATGATGGAAGTACACAACGCTCCCTCCTGACACTCAGACTGTGTTCCGAAGAAGAAAAATTGGTTGTGCCTGGACCAACAGTGGGACTTTTTATCATCATCCTTCATTTGAGCTTGTACAGAGTTTGTATTGAGTAACAAACTTGATTCTGTTCGTCCATCCATAGCCTTCAAAATTAACATTTACTTGTTCTTATCTTGACGATTGATGGGATGAGCAGTCAACACCGTATCGGATATACGTCATGAGAGATCCATTCACAGGGCAGCCATAAACGTGACCCTACTGCACAGAAACACACACAGAACCCACACACTACACCAAACAGTATCCATACAGTACCTACCACTTAACCTAAAGGTGTGAACCATTAATGGCATTTGTATCTGTTCATACACTCCGCACAGGTATTTGGAATTTAACTACTTGACGCCGCAAAGAAGAAACCTTTTACAGGCAAGTCAGGGACAATTGCAAATACGGTTCGGTTTACACGTTGGTACCTCTTTACCGCTTGAAAGAGAGTTCAACTTTAATCGTCTGGAAGAGTCTAGCTAGGTGCCTACCTAGGTACGTTCACCCTCTACGCACCTAAAGAGCATCAGATCTGGTATGTATTTCGCCCCAGGGCAGGGTGACGCTGGCGGTGGGCCTTTTAGCCAACCCAAGACCCTCTAGGAACCCCGTGCCCTTTCTGATGCATCTTGAAGTGCTCGCTCTTCGCTGACACTTGTTGACGTCGGAAAGAATGTCTGAAGCGAAAGCTGTGGGAGTGGTAGAGCCATTACATGACAAACAGTGCTCTATGTGTCACTATAGCCCCCTATCTCACCTTCAGCTTGGCTGTATGCCTGCTTTGGCTCTGAAAGTCCAATTGTCCGTCGTCTCAGTCTTTGAAGACCCCGGACAAGGCACCCCACACTTGCAGAGAGGGGATGCCACCAATTCTGTCTCGAATCGTTCCGGGCATGCAGCCGTTACAGTTCCAGAGCCTCTCTGCACCACACTCCAGCATGACCACCAGTGGTCAGTGGACACCGTCCAGACTTTTGCTGACCCAATGTCTTGGGCTGATGAGAGGTTCAGTCAGCTCACGGCCTCCGACATCATTCGTCGCAGCCAGCCGCATATTGAGAGTAGCTGATGCAATAAACGACAGGATTCAAAATGAGGATGTCGCTTCCCAAGTCTTATGCTGAGGAGCCACGAGCATACTCACAACTTGGCTGGACTTGGTTATTGAATAATGTGTTCGAGAACTTATTTGTACCATTTCACGCAAGTGCACACACTCGTCCACACTTGCGGCACATGCCCGTCTCCCGCCTCGGCGATGGATCCCTCCTATCCGCCAGTCATTATTCCCCGGCTCCAGAATGTTTGACATGGGACCCTCCAATTACAGAATTGAACACGGAGGCCAACAACCCCAAATGCATTCTTTCTGAGGACTTTGTTGACTTTGGTGGGCTGGCGGCCTGCCAACGGTTCTTTGTGCTGTGAGAATGAACGTTATTCTCGGGTGTCTTCTCATCACTGCGTTATCTCCATGAGCGGACAGTGTGCATCTATGTCTCTAATCAACCGTGGACAACTCCAGCGGAGGGCGTTCCTTGCTGCTCAGCCAGCCCAAGGACACCCCACTGTGCGCCACGACCAAGTGATGGGGGTTATCAATTTACGGTTTCCTGTTGGCTGGGTCTCATTTCCTTACTGACGGTGATACGTCTATTATGAGGACATCAAACTTCGCATCCTCTCATCACGGCCAATATTCCGTTGCTATTCATAGGTGGTCCTTGCCGAACCGAGACGCTACGGTACTTGACCAAATCCTCCTCATCAAATTAGTATTAGGCACCCCCGTTTCATCAAACCCAGAAGACAACGAACGGGACGAGCTTTCAACTCGGCGTTTCCTGCTTCGCCTTGTGTTAACAGTCTCAGTAGTGGTCACTTCTGCCCCATCCAAGGCCACTGCCAACCAATACGCCCCACCAAGAATCGTCACCAACTTCACGGCCATGTCACTTGAATAGTCCTTATCTAGACACTTCACGAATATTCCTGTGGAGACCATCTCACGTATGAGTCTTTGTTCTTGTGAAATACGACAGTACAGAGAATTTACCCCTCTCTCTTTTGGTTATCACAAGATATGCAGTCCTGCCATTTGCTTGGTTGCATTCCTTCAACAGGCGCGACGCGTCGGCTCAGCATCTAGCCTGGGCTAGCCTTGTCGATCCTGGTGGCGATGGTTTGACTGTTGCGCCAGGCCTGGCCGAAATGTGCAATCACTAGGTAGACTTCCAAGGCTCTTCTCCCGCTTTGTGATATTTATTAGCTTGATGAAATTTTACGACGATGTCTCATTGGCTGTGTTCTAATGGAATTTGTTTTAGGATGGTTATCTTACTCGACTGTGAAAGGTAAAGGCCATCTTGAGCTGCCAACTATACCCTCACAACCAAACCCGAGACTTCAACAGACATCCAATTTCCATGTTCAACAAAGGGCCAATAAAGGCCGTGAGAACCGGGACAAGAGCTGTATAGGCCACAGCATTTACTTTAAGGGGTGCTGTACGAGTTCATTCGTATAATAACCAATGGTACAGTCAAATCTAGCTCTATTGGTCAAATTGAGCAACTCTCGGCTCTGAAAAGCTCTTTCTCTTGCGTTCCGGTATATCATTTCAGACCTGGCACGCTCTCGAAGTAGGAAAGAATCTCTATCTATCATATAAACGCTGTCTTTATGGTTCTCTTTGTCTCTCAATATCTTCAAAACCGACCAAGAGGTATACTTTTTAACCCTTTTGTTCTTCCGTGCCTGGTTGAGGCAATTCTGGGTTGGTTTGTTGACCAGGGACAACTTGCTTTCTCAACAGGGTTTGAAGGAAACCCCTCGAGTGTTGTTCAGACAGCATGATGTCACAGTGACTGAAGCAAGATGTTTAATCGTTCTCACGATTATCATGCTAAAGGTGGTTCTGTTTGATCCAACATGGGCTTTTTACAGGCCACGGTTGAAAACAACCTTGCCGTTCTTACCTCCCTTGCCGTTCTTACCTCCCTTGCCGTTCTTACCTCCCTTGCCATGGAACTCAGGCTCGAGTGACTCAGCACTCACTTCTTGCTGCTGTGGGAAGACAGCCAGAGCGAAAGGAAGTACGGCAAAGGAGGTGAGGGCGATCAAACTCAAGTTGATGCCCAGAGGAATAACCTTGACGAGTGCTGGTCGTGAGCGCACCCACTCCTTCTGCATGAGGTTCTTATACCAAGCTTGCCTGCTCTCGATATGGTACAGGACCATAGGGGGTAGAACCATGATAGGAGACGCTGTGAAGACTCGGCTGGCTGCGGTTTGATACACAGCGAGCTTGGCAGCAGATTGAGACTTGCCCAGCGAGGGGACGTCTCGTTCCGACTTGCCTTCGGCGATGAGCTTCTGCTTGTCATCATCCGAAAGCACAGGTCGGACATCGATACCCTTGACGATCTCGTCCCGGCGCATGAGGTAGGTGTTGAGGCCAGCGGCTGTAGCGACGGCAGCGAAGGGAATCAGTCGACCGAGGATTTGGCGGGTGGAGGGTGTGACCCTGAGTCGAGGCACAATGGCGTTAAGACCAAGAGCGACAGAGCAAGAAGCTCCCACTGCAGAGAGGTACGACTTGATCATGACCTCGGTCGACATGGGGGAGGACTTGTTGCCATTGGCAGTGTTGAATGCGACATTCAGAGACTGGTTGAAGACTTGCCATCCAACAATGCCGACTGTACCCATACCAGGTTGAAGCATACCGGCGGTCACGACGAGGTTGGTCAAAACATAACAAGACATTCGGAAGGGAAAGAAGACGGGCTCGCCGGTGTCTGTTGTACAGTATCTCGTCAGCTGGTGTCACTATTGCACTCTGCCAGGGCCATATATACCAGGGTGCAGCGTAGAGTCAACAACCTTCTTCGCATGCCACAAAGATGGTGACATGTGCTTGATCTTGCCCGTCTTGTAATCCGTCACCAGCTTCTTGGCCGCCTCGAGTCCGGTCTTGCCCGCGAACAGGGTCCTAGAGATTGCGCCAGCACGGTCAGCTCATGATACTTGAAGTCGGAGGTTCAGAGTTTCAGCAATTGGACTTACGTAGGGTCTGTGATGCCCATTGTATGGCGCACTCGCCCCATATACGTCTCAAGGTCATGCTGCGAAGCGGGAAGCTCCCGCGCGCCAGGAAGCGACGCCGACATGTTCTGTGTGTAGATACGGGACGGATTCTTTGTCGGATTCGAGATAACGAAGGTAGTTGCTCGCGAGCAAGAGGGCGGCGGGAGGGGAAAACAAACAAGGCTTGACCTGAGCTTGATTAAAGTAAGGCGAGGCAAAGGTAGTTAATTAATTGACCGCTAGAGGGGTTCTTGTGGACTAGAAATGCCCGAATGACCACTTCGTGGGACAAAAAAATCCGGTGGAGGGGGATTGCACTGAATAAACGCGACGATAAGCTAATGTAGCCGCAGGTGGAGTCCCGCTTTCGGAGCCAGCACATGGCTTAATTTACGTACATACAGCCCCGGCCCGGACTATAAATCGTGGGGTTACGCATAAGCAGAATCGGGAGGAGTCCCGAGTAGACATGAATATCTCTAGAATCTATTCAGAATCTCTAAGAGTATGGAAATCAGTATAGGACAGACACAACTTGAACATCACAAAGAAGTATTCAGGGACCATCTATATCGGGCCGGTCCCTTATCGGAGCAATGATATCAGTCGCCAGAAAAGACATCAAAAACCTAAGCAGTAAATCAACAAGCTGCGATTGGCGGGTTGATATCCCGAGTCCAAACTCTGAGTACCGGATCTGCAAAAAATACAATACCGAGTGCCAATCGGCAAAAAATATATTCCAGCAAGTAATCGACCACGCCAGGATTCGAACCTGGAATCTCTAGAGAGTTCGGAAGCTGGAGACCGAAATCTAGCGCCTTAGCCATTAGGCCACGCGGCCGGAACCTTTGATTTCCGATGAGAAGCGTGTCCGCTATTCTCTTCCAAGATTGGTGTCTTGTCTGCTAGATCATTGCCTTTGAGGCTGGGATGACTGTAATGTCTTGGATATGTTGTTAATATGTGAGAGTTTTGAGTTGATTGTTGGCCGAAAGTTTGTTCCGAGAGTGGAGTTACGGTGACCCTGAATCTCTTGCGTTGTGGTGTAGAGGCGGTCACCCTAGAGAAGACATCTTGACATAGAATGTATAACTCGTTCTCAATCTATCTCAGGTAAGCTCTCCTGATTCCAAAAGCTTTTATTAGGCTACCCCCAAGTCTCTGTGGATTATAACAGGTTGAGTCACTCCGAATAGCAACAGCCATCAAGCAGTCGTATATAGCGTTACAACTCTATACTTTTACTATCATACAAGTCTATTCATATCATGGACATTATTTGTCACCCGCATCCGCCATAAGCATAGCAATCACAGGCTGGAAAGCAGCCGCCTTCTTGAAATCTCCCAGCTTAACGCTCATGTGATCAAGAGCCATGAGCGCCTCTCCGGCCTGACCTCTCTCGTCTCTCTTCAACGAATCAGCCTTGACATAGCGTTGCGAGAAATGTGTGAGCAGCGTTCTTCGAGCCTTCATCTTGCGTGCAATTTCTAGTGCCTCGCCCATCGTAGAGTGGCCCTTCTTCTTAGCGTGAGACAGCATGTCATCGTCGAACGTGCACTCGTGAACAAGTAGGTGGGCACCTTCGCACTCCTGGGCGAACTCGTCTGAGGGACGGCAGTCACCTGAGTATGCGATGCGTAGACCGGATGTGAGCTCGAGTTCTGTTCCGTAGGAGAGCCAGCAGTGAGGAACTGGGATGCGCTTGATAGCACGGAGTCCGAAATCGCCGTTCTCAATCACGAAACGACCGTTGTTGAGCCTATCAGGCTTGGTGGTGTTGCAATGGGGGAAGTGTAATCTGTGGAAACCAATATCTTCGACCTGAGAGACCTCTTCCAAGAGAGACTTGTATCTTGATACACAAGATACAGCTAGCTTAGCATTGGTGTCTTCGATGGTGTGTTCGTACCAGGCTTTGATCAAATTGGGAGTACCAAGGTGATGATCAGCATGAAGATGACTGATGACAATGCACTTGAGATCTCGGAGGATATTTCCAGTTTCCTCCTCTCCAAAGAGACGTCGGATCTGACCCAAAGTGCCCTCACCAACGTCGAGAAGATAGTTACCAATGCCAGGTACCCGAATCAGTGTTGAAGAAACATTGCGATATTTGCCAGGGATTGAAGAGCCAGTTCCAAGGGGAATGATTTCAGCATCGCGGCTTGGAATATCCTGTTCATCCTCTTCCAATTTTCGCAGAAACTCAGGATCAGATATCTCTTCACGAGCCTTTCGTGCTAGTTCGAGAATCTCATCACTGATAGACTGAGCTGCCTCTCCAAGAGCAGGGAAAGGGGCAATAGCGCCTTCGCCGAATTTAAGACGGGGCATCAGCGCAACTTTGTTTCCTGTCCGGCCAGGCTCAACTTGTGATCCATTGGGAATGGCTCCCTTTATAGCGTTGTCGTACTTGAGAAGAGTGAATCTCTCAGGGTCGATTCTCCGTAGCTTGGTCTGTAGCTGTCCGGGTCCAGCTAGAGAGATCATGTTGGGGCATGTGTCTTTGGCACAGAAGAAATGCTTCATCGTGGGGTGTTCGTCCACGAATTTCTGAATTCTAGCATCATCTGCCATTCCAGGGCCGAGAATCCAGTACACAATAGCGACATGCGACATCAATTCAGAATTTGACCATTCTGGTCGCTCCATGAAAGAGTCGATGAGATCGCGAGACTCTATATCAGCGAGGATAAAGCCTTGACCAGGCTGAGTTTCGCCAAGGACCATCTCAGGAGTTACAGTGGCGCCATCTTTTGTCACTATAGTACTGCCCGCAGTCAAGTGCCTGAAGTCAGTAACATGTACTCCAAGCTCCTTGGCCTTCTGAGGGTTGAATTTTCCGCGGCGATCGAGGCATTTCACGATATAGCACATGGAGCTTTGACTATAAATCGTTGGAGGGAGTGGTCGATGTGTGACGTTGATGGTATCCGCGCTGCGGTCAATTTGAGCTTCCTTCTCGGGGAATACCCAAACAGTTTGATCCGGTTCTGTCAATTCCGACCCATCACAAGGCCTCGGGCCCTTGTAAAGTTTTGTTTCGCCTTCTTGGCGCATAAAGACAGTATCCTTGGGTTTGACTTCGCTCAGCTTAACGGGAATAAGCATTCCATTTCCTTTAAGTGAGCCATTGAACATGACTTTCTCAACGAGAGTTGATGCATATTCAGGATTTGATAGAGGCGACCAGTCTTTGAACTGTGGTTCCTCTTGGTCTCCAACGATGGCGCTTGACCGGCGACGCTTCTTTGGGCTGCTGGAGCGATCTCGTTGAATCGGAATCTTCCACACACGAAGCGCATCGTCTTTCCAGTCAGGTTCTATGCTCTCGATTGTCTCAAGCCGAGGGTTTTCCCTGTGCTCATGTGTGCGAACGGAAATAGGTTGTCGTAGAATGACGGGACGGCATGCGGCTAGAGTGTGGTTCAAATTCTCGCCACCGTGGATGTGAATGGTTTCGAAAGCAGCTTGCTTCGTCAATTTTTGGCCCTTGCTCTTCCTTTCCTCATTCATCAATGCCGTTTGTTCTCTACTCGCCTCTAGTGCGCCACCAACTGTGAGAACATAGCCGAACAGGCCTCCAACCAACTCCCATGAAACACTGCCACTGAGAAAGACCTGTTCCGTTGCTCCCATTCCTAGTCTCCTGCTCTGGAAAGCGCGCTGAGTTCCTTCTTCGGGTCGGCCAAACAGATAAGACCGTCTCTCACTGTGGACAAAGAGACAAGTCCCGGGAGTGTCCACGGTGGGCGCAGAAGCGATCTCAACAGAAGTCGCCATTGGAATAGCAGCAGAATAATCGCTCACTCTTGGTTTTACGATAGATTCTGAGAACTGGCGGGGTTTCCTGAAAGCTCGAGACTTTACTTTTGGGTGTGAACTCTTCCAGGCTCGTCTACAAAAATAGAGTCCAGGTGAGGTTGATAGTGAGGGGCCTTGAGATGAAAATGTTGGTAGTAATGGACGACTACAAGAATTGAATAAATGTGAGAGGCGCCGAGTGCCCCATGTTTGCATGAGAAGGTTGTAGAGAGTTAGAGGAAAATCGGCGTGATACAAAAATGCATCATCTGCCTATGTCATAATCGATATGATATTTCTTATTGGGGCTCTGCTTGACTCGATGAACTTTTTTTTTCTAGATTTAGACGCGGCGAATGACTCCTCTTTCCGCGTTGCACTAGCTCGCGCTGTCACATGAAGTGGTTATAGTGGTTGCATTATGTAATCTAGCTACCCTACATATGAAGAAGCAACATGACCTTGCGAATCTATCACTATAAAACAGACTATGGTCCCGAAGATACATATGGTTGACACAGTAGCGTTCTATATATTGTTATTGAAGTTATATGTCTTCATTCTTATCTGGTCCCCAAACATGCAGCTCAAATTTGGTCATTGATATTGAGTTCTGATGTCAGCTCAGGTTACCATCCATCGGACACGAAGTGGGAGGGCTGCTGGCATTGAAGGCCAATGATAGTTGATCACAAATGGATGATGATGATAGTTCTAAGGTGAGTGATTGGTGAACTTGCGAACAATTCCGACGGATGTCGCAGTATTGGCTTTTTGGTGGTTGATCTAAGAGATCCGAGAGCAACAATGATTCCCTTAAATATCATATATCAAAGAAGGAATCTTCTCTTATACCAGAGTAACCTTCACTAACAAGGTCACACATCTCTTATTCCGTATTTCCGAAACTAGTAGTCTACCTTCGAATCAGAGGCAAGAATGAAGGCTCAATACCTGACTCAAAATGTACTCAATGAGGTCACTCAAAGCCAATACCAGTGGAGAAAAAGACAATCCACTTGCTTTATCACGCATTACAAACGATCTTAGCAACATTACCAATTACCGGTATCAACTACCACAAGGTGAAAAAGATACCCCGGAATCAACATCTAATCCCGAGCCCCTCCGAATATCCCCATACTTTTATTTTAACTCAAGTCAAGTCCCCCATGCGTCGCATCTTTAAACCGCTCACAACTCACTCATCACGACTATTCTCAACCTCTCGATTCATCATGGGAGACGCAATCCTCAAGCGCAATCCTCACCCGGATTTTAAGAAGGTTGAGGCTTCGAGACCTGAGCTTGATACCAAGTCTCAGTTTCGCTACACCAAGACTGTTGATGTGGATTGGACTTTTGGTGAGGGTGCGAATAAGTTGGGCAAGGATGATGGCGATAAGAAACATGTCACCATAGATCCTCATGAGGAGGGTCGTCCTGCAGTCTTCAACTACAAGCTTCTCATCTCTGCTATTGTACCGCGTCCTATCGCTTTTGTGAGCAGTCAGGCTCCCGATGGCACAAAGAAAAACCTCGCCCCGTTCAGCTACTTCAACATGATGAGCCACGATCCGCCCATGTTTGTCGTTGGTTTCGCATCTGGACTCGCCAATGCAAAGGATACACTTCGCAACGTCTCTGAATCCAGCGAGTGTGTTATCAACATCATCTCAGAGCACTTCATCGAAGCCGCCAACTCAGCTAGTGTCAACGCTCCTGCTGATGTGTCTGAGTGGGATATCTCGGGCCTGACACCCAAGTACGACTGTGAGACCGTCAAGTGTGCTCGTGTGGGCGAAGCTATCGTTAGCATTGAGTGCAAGCTCGACATGCTCAAGGAATTCGACAGCAAGGCACGACCTGGAAACAAGTCTGGCTGTATGGCCGTTTTCGAGGGAACTCGCTTCTGGGTTCGGGAGGATGCATTGAATGAGGATAAGAATATGGTTGACCCTGGTGTGTTGAGGCCAGTCAGCAGGTTGGGAGGAATCACATATGCCAGGGTTACTGAGGCGTTTGAGATCCCAAGAACAGATTTTGATAAGGACGTTGGTGGCCAAGAGGGGGTTGAAAAGATACAAAAACAAAAGAACTAGATCAGACGTGGTATATATTCATTCATGACCAAACACCAAATATATAGACTAGACAAGCCCGCAAACAAGGCTTAATAACAAAATGGCCATCATGCAATACAGTTCCCCAGGAGTGATACATGTCCACCATTCATTTCCTGAGTTATACTCATATACCAAATCGTCGCCTCATATAAGCAAAATGTATAACAAACATAAACCCAAACGGTAGCACAAGCCCACAGAGCTTATAGCCAGGTGCTATAGAACAAAAGAAATCATATACGGCCACATGGCAGAGAAAACAAAATTTCCAACGCCGGTAAATGAAGTGCTCAGAGATAGAGGCTCTGGCCAGGATGAGAGATGACAAATTCACATCCCAAGGGTGACTCAGTTTCGCTCTCAAAATTGTGTAGTTGTTTCAGAATAGTGTTTCCAACATTAGGTCCATCATCTAGTCGATCCTTAACATGGATGATGACAACCTTGAGACCTTCGAGGGGCCGTTTTATCTTGGGCACAGATGTGAAAGAATCAGATGGGTTGAGCGTCAACTCAGCCGTCGGCGAAGTGAGGTGCGGCGTAGGAGGTGTTTCAATACCAGGGTGAATGTAATCCGGTGTTGAAGCCTTGATGGTCCTGGGAGACACGGGGTCTTCGGAGGTGAGATTCGCGATAGAAGGATTTCGTCGTGGAGTCTCGTCAGTCGTGCTGCCCATGCGCTTGCGCTTCTTAGGTTCGGAATAATGCGACTTGCGTTCGACTTCGACCTCATGAGCCAGTGCACGCAGCTCCTCAATGACAAAATGGGGTTTTAGGTGGCCGTACAGACGATCCTCGGCCTGCGACTCGTCGTAGCTGCATTCGATGAAGATGGCCTTGAGGTTACCAGAGGCTATCTTTGGCGCAGCTTGTTGCCAGATCTGCAGATTCCGTGGGCTCAGAGATATGCTATCAGGCTCAACATCTCCGAAAATGAGGACTTCGCGGTAGGTGGTGGGGTCCTGGATGAAGTAGGCGCTTGAGTTGTAGACGCATATTTGCTCCTGTTCGGATGTAGTAGTCACAGGGCTGAAGCTGTTTTGGGGGACCATCATTGACCCGCGATGTAAGGATATAGATCCTGGGTAGTAAGATGCGGAGCGCGCAATGGGACCTTGTGGCATGGATGCATCATGACTGCTGAAGCGAGTAGACGCACTTGATGTTGAGCCCCTGTGGCTATGCTTCTCGAGACAATGTCCATGGCTTACGCTCCAAACCTTGATTAGGAGTCCGTCTGCAACTTCGATGTAACCCCTACTTTCACCGTCGCCGAGTGTCGGACTGCCACCTTCAACCAATCTCATATAAGTCACCAGACCAGCTCCGTTGTTCTCATCACTTAGGTTCGGCCATATCACATTGTTGAAAATGTGATTCTTGAAAGCTTGGATAGTGCTTGGTAAAGCAGCCAGTTTCTTTGGCCTTGTCCCTGGGAAGCCAGCAGTATTGACTACAAAGCCAGAGATGTGATCAAGATGAGGATGAGTGATGAGATATGTGTCGACGAGAGAGCGAGTGATGTGAGATGCATTAGCAGAAGGTGATGAGTAAGGTAGCTCAAGACCTGCAAAGGGGCCTGTGGTGAGTGTAAAGGGAAGGGGCGGTGGTGGAGAAGGTATCGATTCTTCCATGATACGTGTGATAGCAGAGAGATGCACGCCAGCATCGACGGCGATGATAGAACCACGATGCCATTTTTGGGCAACAGATCGGACTAGAAAAGCAGTGGTGTTTGATTCTTGAGGACCACCTCCTGAGCCCTGTGATAGAAGTTAGTTAGAGTTCAACTGAATTGTTCATGTTCATATGGGTGAGTATGTGGAACACGGCAGTGAGAAGCCGAATTGTAAAATAGAGTATGAGGATGCGGCAAGACAAACGCCATCACGAATAACGACATGGTCCGACGTGTTTTGTTGCTAGCCGTCATGCATCAAAACCGTTCTTATATCACGGGCGAACATCAGTGGGTGTTGGTTTGTGGAGATGTAACGGTGCGCATGTAAACAAACGAGGAATGGGGATAGGCTGTTGACCGTTGATGATACGTACCAATACAATCACCTGCAAAGCAGGCTTGACTTCGGCTCCCATGATTTGACTTTAGGAGAGAATGAGGAAGAAAGAAGAAAAGAAAAGCGAGAGGGAGAGAGGATTGAGCAATGACGGTTGAATCAATTCGACCGATTTGATGCCTGCCCTGGGATCTGGGATGTGGAGGTGGAGGCCCTGAGAGGTAGCAGTGGAGAGGGAGAGAGAGACGGGATGGAGATGGTGTGGTTTAGGTGGCTGCCCCACTAAAAGCCCTGTAAGGTACCGCCTGAAAGGTTCAAGCTGCAAAGTAAAAACGGTGGACCTGTTCCTGTTGCGCGCCGTCTCCGTCACTGGCTTAGGAGTTCTAAGGTAAGTTACTACCTAGGAAATAAGTTAGGAATACAACTTCCGGAATAAGAGATGGATCTAGTTGATCCACGAACCTGAAGCTGTTAACTTGCAGTAGTTGATTCGAGAATTAACCACTGATAGCTCTTTGATATTCTCCGATAGATAAGGGATGCAACCCTTTTTTTTGCCTGCTCTGGGATGGAATGGAATGTGTGATGCAAATACCGACAGCTCAGGCGAACTTTGGAGAAACCCGAAAAATAATTCAGGAAAAATGTATGGCACACGTGATTGGATTTATCGCTGTAGAACGTTATTTTCTCAAATGCCGCGTGCTACCAAGGCTGATACAGTATCGAACTGTACTTGTACTGGAGCGGATGTGCTGATATAGTTCGCTCTCGCCGAATATCGCTTGTCGATAGACTGAACTTGACCACGTTGATCCTTGCTCTGATCCCGCTTGGCAGGGTATGGCGATGCAGGGCGATATTTATGATTCTGCCACTGTAGAACTGAACAAAGAAGGTGAAGAACATGTTCCAAAGACAAGAGATATGAGCTTCAAATATAGCACACGACTATTGTTCTCGCACTCGCCGAACGCAACTCTCCTCTCTTGGCATGTCACCCTCTCAAGTCCCGCTGCCTCCCCCAAAAGAGGAATATCGAACAACTCATAGCTCAGATGCCGGCTCAGCTTCAAGGCCGCAGATCTGTCCTAGCAACCTAATAACCCCCCATCAACCTTGTTTAGCTTGTAAGCCTGCATCGGCGTTTCCGTGCCCCGACCCCTCTCAACGGGACGTCCCCCCACCAGATGGGACAACGTCACTGCTAAAACGGGCGAGCTGAGCTTGGGGGAGTTTGAGGTTCTTTGTTGAAGCTTGGACCCTTTTTGCCTGATCAGATAGACGATTGATTATCCTTGGCATGACTTGACTTCTTTGAGGATCGAGGCTAGACCTTGAGCTGAGCCGTGCATCTTGTCGCGTATAGGTTGTGGCTTGAAAGAGAGATCCCACGATCCTGGTTTCGTTATTGTTGAAGAAACAAAGAGACTTAGCCTTGGGACTCGAACATCCACAAAGACATGACACTCTAATACAAAGGGTAATGTTCTAATTAAAGAGCATATTGTTGTCAAAGTTCTCTCTCTCTAACCAGCTAATCCTTCGACCAAGACGAACTCTCTCGATATCTTCACGATCACTTGACTTGACTCGGTGCAACTCATAGCTCGTACTCATTCATGTATACGATTTGATTCTATAATACTAAAACAGGAAGTTAATAATTAACTCCGAACTCCGGACTGAATACTAAGCCAAGTCTAATGCGCTGATTGCTATGCTATGTTGCCATCCTGAACCATGTGAAATGGGGTATTGAAAAAACATCATCCCATGGCTCCATAGATCTTGATCCAAATCCTTTAAACCCAATCAAAACTACATATTCTCGGTAGTCCTCTGACCAGCAGGGACATCGTACTATTACATCCACTTCATGACTCTAGAAACTTTCGATAGTCCTTGATCATCGCCACTTGCTGCCTTTCAAGGCGTCTTCTTAGCGCTCATTCTGCTGCTTCTCCTCAAAGGTGAGCCCTGAACTTCCTCGCCAGCGCGAATAGACGCCTGGCGAGGGGATTTGTCCTTGACTGGCGAGCCGAAAAGACTGTCGTCACTCAACGAAGGAGCTCTCTGGCCCTTTGGTGTAGAGGGCACAGCCAGGGATTCTTTCCTAGAACCCTCCGTAGGCAACAACGAGCCAGAGGCTTGAAATTTTGCTGGGGAAGTGGTAGCCTTGGTCTCGGTCTGGAAAGACTGACGAGTGTTTCCAGCCGAGAAGCGGGGGCTTCGTCGTGGTGGCAAGACAAGCTGATCTTGGCGATGAGTCTCTACCTTAGGACATGGTTGCACAAAGGTCTCCTGTCCCAAAAAGAAGTCGCTAGGGGACAGAAGAGCGCTGATTGATAATCTTGGTTCGCCTGTGGGAGGCTTGGACCAGTTTGAGTTGTCCTCGAGCTTCTCGACTGGCTCCTCCTTCAACCTGGGACTGAATCCGCCGTATTCAAACTGATAGTTATTGTCAACGGAAACACTGGACAGCATATCGCTGAAGTTCTTTGTCGAGCCATTGGGTGTCAATTCAGCAGACTTTCGTGTAGGAAGAAGTCCATTGGAGGTCATCGGAGTAGGTAACTTATCCGGCTCAGGCGCAACAGCACGGGACTGCTTCGACGCCCTTTTCTTCCTGGAAGCAGTGTCACGCTCAGCCCAGAAGTCAAGGCGGCCCATGTGAACGTCAATGGTCTTCAACTCGCTTTCTGGCCTATCCTTATTGCGGCCGCCGCGGCTCCTATGACGAGCCCCGACTTGGTGATCCAGATGGTGCTTAACCAGCGCGAAGGAGAGAGAGTCCTCGTGATTCGCATACGGGGCTTGTCGTGCTTGACCTGCACGCTTTCTAAACCAAGGCCTGATAGTATCCTCGACGATCCTTGTATCAGAATCTCGAGTGATGGCCATTTTGTTTAGTTTCTCCTTGACAAGGTCCCCATCATCGCGATCATCTGGCACCATCCTCCCATTTGCCATCACCTCTACGGGGTCTATGCACTGCTCGAAGCACCAGAGATGCATAACACCGGCCATCTTGAAAGGATCTTTCTGGCCACAGGAGGTATAGGGATAAAACTCGTCAAACGCTATGCGGCACCAGCCAGGTCGTATCGTGTGGTTTGCATCTGGGCATTTCGAGTACCGACAGATAGTGTCGGCATCGATAGTTCGTTCTGTGCACTGCGCTGGATTTTGTTGAATCCACAGCCTTGAACTTCGAGGACAGTTGTAGATATAGTCCTTCAAGTCCTCGGCCGAGAGTAGAATCTTTTTCTCCCATTGTCCTGTGGGCAAGTACGAGAATTCGAATCCTCTACGCGAGATCCAGTCTAGAGTCGGGAAGCGGAACAGCCCATACATCTTGATTCCAATCTCAGGATCCTTTTCCTTTCCACGTTTAGTCCTGGGATTTCGTCCCTTCTTATGAGGCTGCTTTGAGGGAACTTCCAGGTCGGAGTCGTCGTCAAATGCAGCTTGCCGCTTGCGCTTAGGAGGTGTCTGCAACCAAGCCGGCCGGCCATCTGGTTCTTGGTATGGCACTTGCTGGATTTTTTGTTGAGGTGGTCGACGATTCTGGGGAACTGCATGCGGAAAGCATGGGCCAGGGTGAGGGTCGCGACGGCAACTGGCGCATTTGCTTACTTGGATTATGTTGTGCATAGACTGTGTTGAGATTGCGGCTGGAGGCTGAAGCGGATACTGGGCAATACCTTGAGTACCGTAGTTCCCTTCGATACCATTTTCCGGGTAATGATAACTGGGTTGATAGGAGTTGTAGACGGGGTAATTGGGCTGAACGAGGCTGTTTCGGTTTAGCTGGGGCTTCTTACAAGGGGATCGTACGTACGGGTTTGCTTGCCCACGAGTGCTATAGAGTGGCAACTGAACATTTGCTGCGAGATCAAAGCTTTGGGAACCTCTAGCGGAGGCCGCATTTCTCACTGCAGGCATGTTGGGTTGTGCCATAGCTTGATGAACTGGTCGGGGCTGCTGCACCAAAGATGTCCTTGGCACGAGAATTGGGTCCTGTAGCTGATGGCTAACATGAGCCATTGGAGCTCCCAAGTTGTTGGACATATCCGACGGGGAGTTTAGGTTGCATGAAGCCGGAGTGTCAACGGTCGACAGAAGGTTAGGATCAACTGGAAGCTGAGGGTTTTCCGTGACTGTACTCGGAGCCATGTCTTGAGTTGCTTCTAAGTCGAACTGTTTGATCAATTCTTCGGATGACAATGCTTCGGATGAAAGGTCTTCAAAATCATAATCGGCGCCAATACCATTCAAAAGCTGTTGGTTGATGTCTGATATGGTGTTGCCCATATACTCTGGGGCGGAACTGTACAAGTTGTCCATCTGGAAACAATATCCTAAGACTTGCCGGGTTTTGCTGGGGTTATATGGTGTTTATTCAGATCTTATTCGAACTGGCGAGGTGGTATCGAGATGAGTGATTGCCAGAACTGAGGAGTTGTTCAAGATGTGCGAAAGAGCGTTCAGGAGCAAATGATTGCTTGGGTGAGGACGAAAAGTGAACTAAGAAAAGGAGCCTGTGGCATCCTTTATATTACTACGAGATAGTATAGATACAGTAAGAGCTGGAACAGCACATTGTCTTCGTTCAGGGCTTTGTTCAATACGAAAGAACGAGACCCCGAACATAAGTAAATCTTAAAATATGTGAGGCTGTTAGTTGAACAAGGACGTCTCCTCAGTAGAAGAGAGGGTGTGTTCAACTGTTCAACCGTCTTTGTCTGAAAGAGACCCGACTTGGAGCCCCGAACAAAAAAAGAACAACACGGGAGAGTCGAAGCTTCGAAGCCAGACTCCATTTTAGGTTCTGTGTTCTATCACTTTGAGATACTGGCGCATTGTTAGTACTGAGACTCTGAAAGAGAACAAGTGCCAAAGAGAAATAGAAGGGGTTTGATCAGATTAAAAACATGTTTTTCTACACAAGTGTTCAGAACAGGTCTGTGTTATGTGTGTCTCATCATATAGAAATAGAAATTCGATGAAAGAAATAGAGAGTAGACATACCAGATGATTAGGTCATGGACAAAATTCGATGCGAAAGGAAAGACTATTGTGGTCAGCAAAATGGGTCATTCAAGTGCAATTTAGTAAGTGTTGAGGTTCATGTCAGTCAGGCTGACCTAGACGGCACATGACTTCATGGTGTCTAGAGAATATCTCAGAATGGTCCAAGAGGCCTGGAGTTCGCTGCGATCGAGTTGTTGCTTAATCGTGATGCATGTATTCATGGATGTTGTTGGAGTAGTAAAGTGGAAGGAATTTTTGAGATTGCGATAGGGAAGAGGTGTAATGTGGATCCGGAGATTCGGACCAGCGACATCCGATCTTCGAATAGGTTACCCTACATCTGAGCTCGGGATGGGCGGGGTGAGGGTTGAGTTTCGTAGTAATGAGAAAGAACATATGGTATTTGCATGGCTCTTGAGGTCGTGATAATCTTCCAGGGAGGTAAGATCCAATGTCGCCCATTCTGGACGTTGCTTTTTTGTGGTTGATGCTATACTGACTACCTACCATGAGCCAACTCAGGTTTCTTAAAATAGAAAATTCCAACAACGACAGTTACTAGATGTGGCCAAGAAAATGACATATCTAACGGCGCGCATTTCCCAAAAGATATTAGATTCACTTATACGACACTGACTAAAGCATCGAGCCTGCCAAATACCATGACTGCCGACCCTATTCAGAAGAGGAGCTTCGATTCAAGGATATTTATCTTGTTTCCTGCAAGCCAATACGACGCTAAAACAGTGACCAGCCACTAAATTTAGTGGCCAACATATGCTTGAAGCTGCAAGAGAAGAGGGGCAGCGGGAGGACGAACCCGCAAGGGACCGTATTCTCAGCTAAAAAAAACTGGTTAGAATGGTGATACAGCCAAAACAGTCCAGGGGCACCCCGCCCTTTGATCCAACGGGCCCTGTCTAGAGAACCAATAAGAGCAATCTCTTGCCTGCCCTCCAAGGCTTGAGTTGAGACTACGTCACGAGACTCTGCTATCCCGTCGGGTCCCTTCAACTGGACTAACTGGACTGGACCTGTGAGACTCAGGTCCGTGGCTAACCTCAAATAAACCCACCAAACCTCATCCTTACAGCGGCCACATCGCCCGACACCGCCATCATGGCTGAAGTCAATCCAGAGCTTCAAGAACGACTCGAAGAGTTGGATCGCGAGCTTGAGGTATGTAAATTGCCACTTATTATTCACCAAATTCCTACCTTTGTCCCAATGATTGACTTCGGCGCCTCGACACGCCATTGGAGGTTATTTGTTGATGTCGCATGCGATCAAAAGCCATCCTATTGATATATCATGGCTAACTTTGAGTTCTCTGTAGGAAGGAGATATTACACAGAAGGGGCAAGTTACTGCGACTTAAACATTAACCTGTACCGTTCAAACTAACGCGCCTAAAGCTACCAGAAGCGACGAACTCAGCTCTTCTCTCAATTCCTCGGTTCACCTCCACCCCAAGTTGCTGCTCTCGCCGAACCTCAGTCTGGCCTACGCATACACTCTCCCGATGACTCGGCCCATCCCTCAGGCGATGGTCACCGCGCCGCTGCATATGCCTCTCTCGGCGCCAGCAGCGGCCCGATCCCCGATACACCAGACTCACCTATATATCGACCACATTCTGGCTATGCCCCGTCCTCAGAATCACCGAGACCTCCAGAGCAGGCCCCGGCCTCGCTTTTGCGACCGGGAGGTCCCATGGCTGCGGGATCAACAGCTGCCCACCGAGACTCCCTCTTTTTCTCCCCCTCGCATGTCGTCGAACCTGAAACCCGAACAGGTACCATGAGATCGGGAGATTATGCTTTCAGACCAGAGCAGCAAGGCGCATACCCTGATCAGCAGTATCAACAGCAGCAGCAGTATCAACAACCACCGCAACAGCAACCTGATGGACGAACCACAACGCTACTCGATTCGCAAGGATATTTCTCGGACTTCGCGGGACAGCAGCATTATGATCAGGGCCAAACTGTCGAGTATGGAGGACCTCAGCAGCGATACTCTTCCAGCGATGCCTTTTCTCCTACCGCCGCCATGGCGCCGCCGATGCTCACAACCAACGATCTCCCGCCTCCCGAGGCCCTCGAATACCAACTACCACTAGACCCCCGCGAGGTACCCTTCGCTATTCAAGACCCTCATGACGATTCAACACCAATGTCAAAGTTCGATAACATCGCAGCTGTGCTTCGACATAGAGGCCGAACGATCGCCAAGAAACCTGCATATTGGGTGTTGGACAGTAAGGGCAAGGAGATTGCTTCAATTACGTGGGACAAGCTGGCGTCCAGAGCCGAGAAGGTGGCACAAGTCATCAGAGACAAGAGCTCTTTATACCGTGGTGATCGAGTTGCCCTTATCTATCGCGACTCTGAAGTGATTGACTTTGCAATTGCCTTGTTGGGGTGCTTCATTGCTGGAGTTGTTGCTGTGCCCATCAATGACTTGCAGGATTACCAACGCTTGAACCACATTCTTACCACAACACAAGCCCATCTGGCCCTAACCACCGACAACAATCTCAAAGCCTTCCAACGAGATATCACAACTCAAAAACTGACATGGCCAAAGGGTGTCGAATGGTGGAAGACGAACGAGTTCGGCAGTTATCACCCTAAGAAGAAGGATGACGTCCCGCCCTTGGTCGTTCCCGATCTGGCCTACATCGAGTTTTCGAGGGCACCAACCGGAGATTTGAGAGGTGTTGTTCTCAGCCACCGAACTATCATGCATCAAATGGCTTGCCTTAGCGCCATTATCTCTACAATTCCAGGCAATGGTCCAGGAGATACCTTCAATCCGTCTCTGCGGGATAAGAACGGCCGACTGATTGGTGGTGGCGCAAGTAGCGAAATCTTGGTTTCATACCTTGACCCTCGTCAGGGTATTGGTATGATTCTGAGCGTGTTGCTGACAGTGTATGGTGGTCATACTACTGTTTGGTTCGACAACAAAGCCGTCGATGTTCCTGGACTCTACGCCCATCTCCTTACAAAATACAAATCGACCATCATGATCGCAGATTACCCTGGTCTGAAACGAGCTGCTTATAATTACCAGCAAGAGCCATTAATAACCCGAAATTACAAGAAGGGGATGGAACCAAACTTCCAGATGATCAAACTCTGTTTGATTGACACTCTGACAGTAGATAGCCAGTTTCACGAAGTTCTCGCTGATCGATGGCTAAGACCATTAAGAAACCCCCGCGCTCGCGAGGTTGTTGCTCCTATGCTCTGTCTCCCTGAGCACGGAGGCATGGTTATTAGTGTGCGTGACTGGTTGGGAGGAGAAGAACGCATGGGCTGTCCCTTAAAGCTCGATTTAGAAGACGAAACGGACTCAGATGGCGAAGAGAAGGAAGAAACCGAGAAGCCCACAGTTTCCAATGGCTTTGGCAGCCTTTTGAGTGGTGGAGGCACTACCACAACAGAAGAAAGAGCAAAGAACGAGCTTGGAGAGGTTCTTTTGGACCGCGAGGCTCTAAAAACGAATGAAGTTGTGGTTGTGGCCATTGGAAACGAGGCCCGTAAGAGGGTGACGGAAGACCCAAGATTGGTTCGAGTTGGTGCCTTTGGATATCCCATACCAGATGCCACACTCTCTGTGGTCGATCCTGAAACCGGTTTACTGGCTTCACCCCATTCCGTGGGTGAGATCTGGGTAGACTCTCCCTCCCTATCTGGTGGTTTCTGGGCACAACCAAAGAACACTGAGCTCATTTTCCACGCTCGCCCTTATAAGTTTGACCCAGGCGACCCAACGCCCCAGCCTGTGGAGCCCGAATTCCTACGAACGGGCCTGCTGGGTACCGTTATTGAAGGTAAAATCTTTGTCCTAGGCCTTTACGAAGACCGCATTCGACAAAAGGTTGAGTGGGTTGAGCATGGACACGAACTGGCCGAATACCGCTATTTCTTTGTTCAACATATCGTTGTGAGCATCGTCAAGAATGTTCCAAAGATCTATGATTGTTCAGCATTTGACGTCTTTGTCAACGATGAACACCTACCGGTTGTGGTATTGGAATCAGCAGCCGCCTCAACGGCGCCGTTGACCTCTGGAGGGCCTCCGCGACAACCGGATACTGCCCTCCTGGAGTCATTGGCTGAGCGATGTATGGAGGTTCTCATGACAGAGCATCATCTTAGACTGTACTGCGTTATGATCACAGCACCGAATACGTTGCCACGTGTTGTCAAGAATGGACGACGCGAAATTGGAAACATGCTCTGTCGCCGAGAATTTGATCTCGGCAACCTTCCCTGCGTGCACGTCAAGTTTGGCGTGGAACA